AGACCAGAGAGAGACCAGAGAGAGACCAGAGAGAGACCAGAGAGAGACCAGAGAGAGACCAGAGAGAGACCAGAGAGAGACCAGAGAGAGACCAGAGAGAGACCAGAGAGAGACCAGAGAGAGACCAGAGAGAGACCAGAGAGAGACCAGAGAGAGACCAGAGAGAGACCAGAGAGAGAGACCAGAGAGAGACCAGAGAGAGACCAGAGAGACCAGAGAGAGACCAGAGAGAGACCAGAGAGAGAGACCAGAGAGAGACCAGAGAGAGACCAGAGAGAGAGACCAGAGAGAGACCAGAGAGAGACCAGAGAGAGACCAGAGAGAGACCAGAGAGAGACCAGAGAGAGACCAGAGAGAGACCAGAGAGAGACCAGAGAGAGACCAGAGAGAGACCAGAGAGAGACCAGAGAGAGACCAGAGAGAGACCAGAGAGAGACCAGAGAGAGACCAGAGAGAGACCAGAGAGAGACCAGAGAGAGAGACCAGAGAGAGACCAGAGAGAGAGACCAGAGAGAGACCAGAGGAGAGACCAGAGAGAGACCAGAGAGAGACCAGAGAGAGAGACCAGAGAGAGACCAGAGAGAGACCAGAGAGAGACCAGAGAGAGAGACCAGAGAGAGACCAGAGAGAGACCAGAGAGAGACCAGAGAGAGAGACCAGAGAGAGACCAGAGAGAGACCAGAGAGAGACCAGAGAGAGAGACCAGAGAGAGACCAGAGAGAGACCAGAGAGAGACCAGAGAGAGACCAGAGAGAGACCAGAGAGAGAGACCAGAGAGAGACCAGAGAGAGACCAGAGAGAGACCAGAGAGAGACCAGAGAGAGACCAGAGAGAGACCAGAGAGAGACCAGAGAGAGACCAGAGAGAGACCAGAGAGAGACCAGAGAGAGAGACCAGAGAGAGACCAGAGAGAGACCAGAGAGAGACCAGAGAGAGACCAGAGAGAGACCAGAGAGAGACCAGAGAGAGACCAGAGAGAGACCAGAGAGAGACCAGAGAGAGACCAGAGAGAGACCAGAGAGAGACCAGAGAGAGACCAGAGAGAGACCAGAGAGAGACCAGAGAGAGACCAGAGAGAGAGACCAGAGAGAGACCAGAGAGAGACCAGAGAGAGACCAGAGAGAGAGACCAGAGAGAGAGACCAGAGAGAGAGACCAGAGAGAGACCAGAGAGAGAGACCAGAGAGAGACCAGAGAGAGACCAGAGAGAGACCAGAGAGAGAGAGACCAGAGAGAGACCAGAGAGAGACCAGAGAGAGACCAGAGAGAGACCAGAGAGAGACCAGAGAGAGAGACCAGAGAGAGACCAGAGAGAGACCAGAGAGAGACCAGAGAGAGAGACCAGAGAGAGACCAGAGAGAGACCAGAGAGAGACCAGAGAGAGACCAGAGAGAGAGACCAGAGAGAGACCAGAGAGAGACCAGAGAGAGACCAGAGAGAGACCAGAGAGAGACCAGAGAGAGACCAGAGAGAGACCAGAGAGAGAGACCAGAGAGAGACCAGAGAGAGACCAGAGAGAGAGACCAGAGAGAGACCAGAGAGAGACCAGAGAGAGACCAGAGAGAGACCAGAGAGAGACCAGAGAGAGAGACAGAGAGAGAGACCAGAGAGAGAGAGACCAGAGAGGGAGACCAGAGAGAGAGACCAGAGGAGAGACCAGAGAGTAGACCAGAGAGAGAGTGACCAGAAGAGGAGACCAGAGAGATAGAGACCAGAGAAGAGAGAGCAGAGAGAGACCAGAGAAGACCAGAGAGAGAGACCAGAGAGAGAGACCAGAGAGAGACCAGAGAGAGACCATGTGTCCGAGTGACCAGAGACGAGACTCTTTGGTGGATAGAGAGACCAGAGAGAGAGAGACCAGAGAGAGACCAGAGAGAGACCAGAGGGAGACCAGAGAGAGACCAGAGACAGACCAGAGAGAGAGACCAGAGAGAGGGAGACCAGAGAGGAGAACAGGAGGGAGACCAGAGAGGAGAAGAGACAGAGAAGAGACCAGAGAGAGACCAGAGAGGAGAGAGACAGAGAAGAGACCAGAGAGAGACCAGAGGGAGACCAGAGAGAGAGAGAGAGAAGATGAGGGGGAGGACCAGAGAGAAGAGAGAGAGAGAGAGAGAGAGAGAGAGAGAGAGAGAGAGAGAGAGAGAGAGAGAAGAGAGAGAGAGAGAGAGAGAGAGAGAGAGAGAGAGAGAGAGAGAGAGAGAGAGAGAGAGAGAGACGAGAGAGAGAGAGGAGAGGAGAAGAGAGAGAGAGAGGAGAGAGAGAGAGAAATCATGGAGAGACCATGGGCAGACATCTTGGAGATACCTTGGGGCTCTGTCTCCTTACAGGGAACAGCACCTCGTTGGTGAATCCTCAAATTTGTTGATCTTTTTGTGATTTAGTGCTTTTCCCAAAGACATCGAATTTAATTGAATGTCCAGTTAGTGCAAACCACGACCATTTATTTAATTTTCAACCCAAACATCAACACAGCGTAACAACAGCTGGAATCGAAAACAGCAGATGGGAAATCAGAAAGTGTAGAGCAGATGTAACTACGTGTTTTTGCCTAAGTATATATGTGTGTTTCTTATTTTACTCAGCGTGTATGGCATTGGTCGTCTGATTCTCATCTCTGCCGCACAATGCAAACCCTGAGTGTGTCTGTGTGCAGCCTGGATCTGACAGGACTGTGCTGATAAGTATTCCTGGCTTGACTTGGTAATATTTCTGCGATCGGTGTCGTTTAGATGAAATCAGGATCTCGCTGGTGGCCTCCCCTTCAATTTCATGCTAATGTGAACAGCCAGCCTCGCTCAGTGTGAGATCACAGATAGAGCTGGCTGTCAGACGCAGAGGATATATGCATGGGGAAAGCTACATGGGGACGTACTCTCAAATTGCATGACCGTCTCGGAGTGTGCGAGGAGGAAAACCTGCTCGCTTTTTAAACACACACATCTCGCATCAGCCGCTGAAAGTTGTAATAGTGTGAGGCTGAAGGAGAAATGTGAGTTTTTAACCATGTTGCAGCCACTAACCTCACACCATCAACTTATTTTGGCTTTGCACAGACGTTGGGTATATTTGAAAATGCATCTTCCACATCCTATGCTCGTGTCATGCATCATTTTAAAGCTATGTCCTTCTAGTTTGTGTAGATATAGATTTGTAAAATGTGTGTCATCAAAATGTCAGTAAACAACTGAAAAAAGGAAATTGAGAAACCTTGGGGAGGCCCTGTCCACTGCCACAGATGGACTGAGGCTGTAGATCCAGGACTGAGGCTGTAGATCCAGGACTGAGGCTGTAGACCCAGGACTGAGGCTGTAGGATCTAGGACTGAGGCTGTAGACCCAGGACTGAGGCTGTAGATCCAGGACTGAGGCTGTAGGATCTAGGACTGAGGCTGTAGACCCAGGACTGAGGCTGTAGGATCTAGGACTGAGGCTGTAGATCCAGGACTGGGGCTGTAGATCCAGGACTGAGGCTGTAGATCCAGGACTGAGGCTGTAGATCCAGGACTGAGGCTGTAGATCCAGGACTGAGGCTGTAGGATCTAGGACTGAGGCTGTAGACCCAGGACTGAGGCTGTAGATCCAGGACTGAGGCTGTAGATCCAGGACTGAGGCTGTAGACCCCAGACTGAGGCTGTAGATCCAGGACTGAGGCTGTAGACCCAGGACTGAGGCTGTAGGATCTAGGACTGAGGTTGAAGACCCAGGACTGAGGCTGTAGATCCAGGACTGAGGCTGTAGATCCAGGACTGAGGCTGTAGATCCAGGACTGAGGCTGTAGATCCAGGACTGAGGCTGTAGATCCAGGACTGAGGCTGTAGATCCAGGACTGAGGCTGTAGACCCAGGACTGAGGCTTGTGTTGTTAATGAGCAGGATAATCGTGTGTGATCTGTGTGTTTTTCCTGTAAATCCAGTTTCAGTCCATAATCCTCAGAACGGTTCACATTCCGCCTCCTTCTGCAGCGAGCCGAGAGTTTCATGGTCTTCTCAAGGACAGGGATCGATGCAGATGTGTTATAATTGACTCCAGTCGTGGGAAAAGACCTGTCCGTGTCCAGGTGAACCGACCAATCGTAATCAGTGTGTGGTTTAATTCACGTAGAAAGTACATGATAAAAATAGATTATAGTGACTAAACAAGTGGAAGCAAAATGGGTGGTGGATTTTATGTGTATTTACATTTTAATGCTTGGTCCTGGGTTCGAATCCCGGTCGGAACAGGGCCTTCCCAAGTGGAGTTTACATGTTCTCCCTGCGTCTGCGTAGGTTTACTCCAGGCGCTCCGGTTTCCCCTACCACTAAAAACATGTACAATAGCTCTGAATGTAATGAGTGAGTGAATGGATGGTGTTTGGTCGGAGGCTTTGATGGTCCAGTGCTTTGGGTGACCATGGTGAGACTGGCTTCTACTCTGACAATGTTCAAATCCTGGTTAAAAAAAAAGTTTAGATTTTGCCAACGCAGGTGTCAGAGAAGGTCACTATAGAGCAGGTAGAAGCAGGATACGCCCCCCTCCCTCTCAGCCAATCAGCTCTCAGCCAATCAGCTCTCAGCCAATCAGCTCTCAGCCCAACTGAGCTAAAGTTAGGTACCGCAGCTCGGAGAACTTTGAATCTGTGTGGAATCTGCCTCCCTCGTCGGCCAATCACAGTTATCTGTCCCCGCGCTCCTCCATCTCCCTCAGACCAGACTTTAACTTAATAAAATATTGTATCTGTGTCTGTGTGTGTGTGTGTGTGTGTGTCTGTGTGTGAGTGTGTGTGTGTGTGTGTCTGTGTGTGTGTGTGTGTGTGTGTGTGTGTGTCTTGTGTGTGTGTGTGTGTGTGTGTGTGTCTGTGTGTGGTGTGTGGTGTGGTGTGTGTGTCCCACCCCCCCCTGTGTGTGTGTGTGTGTGTGTGTGTCCCCTTTGCACTTCCTTCCCCCGCCTTCCTACCTTCCCCGTCCGCCCTTTTCCCGTGCCCCTCCTTTCCCCTGCCGTCCCCTGTCCCCGTCCCTCCTTCCAGTCCCCTTCCTGTCCCCGTCTCCCCTTCCGTTCCGCTTCCGCTTTCCCGTCCGCCTGCCCGTTCCCCTCCGTATCTCACTTCCCGTCCCTCCTTTCCCGTCCTCCTTCCCGTGTGCACCGTCCCGCCCGGCCCGTCCTCCTTCCCGTCCCACTTGTCCCTACCATTCCCCCCCGTCTCTCCTGCTTGCTCCTTTCTCCCGGCCCTCCCTCCCGATCCCTCGTCCGTCTCCTTTTCCCGTCCCCTCCTGCCCGACCCTACCTTTCCGCCCGTCTCCCTTCCCGTCACCTGCCCGTCCACTTCCCGTCCCCTACCCGTCCCCCTACTTACCACGGGACCCCTCCTTCCCGGCATCCCTCCCTTCCCGTCCCCTCCCTGCCCCCCGTCCCTCCCTCCTTCACACCCGTCCATCCTTCCCGTCACCTTCCTGTCTCCTTCCCCGTCCCTCCCCTTCCCTCCCACCTTCTCCCTGTCCCTCCTCTCCCCCATCCTTCCCGTCCCTCCTATCCCCCCCCGTCCCTCTCCTTCCCAGTCACCTTTCCGTCCCTCCTCTTTCGCATTTCCCCAGTCCCCTCCTTCTCCCCGTCCTCTCCTTCCCCCCGTCCCTCCTGTCCCCGTCTCCTTTACCCCCGTCCCTCCTCTCCCTGACCCTCCTTGAGATTCCCGTCCCTCCACCCCACCTGCCTGTCCCGTCTCCCCTTCCCGTCCCTGCCTTTCTCCCATTCTCTTCCTTCCCGTCTCCTTCCCGTCCCTCCTTACCCCGTCCCTCTCTATCACCCAGTCCCACCTTCCCCCCAGTGCCCTCCTTCCCCACCCTCTTGTCCCGGTCTCTCGCCTTCTCCCTCCCGGCACCCCTTCCCCGTCCCTCCTTGACCGTGCTCCCTCCTCCTTCACATCCTCTCCTCTTCCCTCGTTTGGTCTCTCCCTACACTTCTCCTCTCCTTTCCTTTCCCTCTCCCTTACACCACCTTCCCGTCCCTCCCTTTCGCCCGCCCTTTTCCCCCCTCTCTTCCTTCCACCTATCCCCCGTCCCCTCCCTTCCCGTCCCTCCTTCACACCCTCCCTCCTGACCTTTAATCCTTATCCCGCTCCACTCTCCCCCTTTCCCCGTACTCCTTCACCATCACCCTCCCGTCCTTGGTCCTCCTCTTCGTCCCCCGTCCCCTCCATTTCCCTTCCCCGGTTCCCCTCCTTCCCCCCCCCTCACACCTCTCCTCCGCTCTCTCCCCGTCCTCTTCCCCTCCTCTCCCCTCCCTCCTCCTTCCCGTCTCTCCTCCTTCTATCCCCTCTCCTCCCTCCTTCCTCCACGTCTCTCCCCGTCTCCGCCCTTCCCCTCCCCGTCTCTTCCCCCGCTCTCTCCCCCTCTTCTCCCCCGTCCCTGTCACCGTCTCTCTCCTCTCCCCGCCCCTCCCCTTCCCCGTCTCCTCCCTCCCTCCCGGTCCCTCCTCCCGTTCCCCTCTCCGTCTCATCCCTCGCCCCCGTCTCCCCCCTTCCTCTTTCCCGTCGCCTTCCCCTCCCTCCCACCCATCTCCTCCCCGATCCCTCCCCCTTCTCCACTCCCGTCCTGTCCTCCCTCCCCGTCCCTCCTTCCCTCTCCCTCTCCCCCGTCTCTCCCCTCGTTCCCAACCCCCTCATCTTCTGCCCCCGTCTCCTTTCCTCTTTCTTCTTCCCTCCCTTCCTCCCCCCCATGCATCTCCCCCGTCCTCCCCGTCTCTCCTCCCGTCTCTCCCCGTCTCTCCCCGTCTCTCCCCCTTCCCCTCCTCCCCGTCTGCTCCCCTGTCTCTTTCTCCCCTGATCTCTCCCCCGTCTCTCCCCCGTCTCTCCCACGTCTCCTTCCCCGTCGCTCCACCTGTCTCCCTCTCTCCCCTCGTCTCTCCCCGTCCCTCTCCCCGTCTCTCCCCCGTCTCTCCCCCGTCTCTCCCCGTCTCTCCCCCGTCTCTCCCCGTCTCTCCCCCGTCTCTCCGTTCCACCCGTCTCTCCCCCGTCTCTCCCGCCGTCTCCTCACCGTCCTCTCCCCCGTCCCTCTCCCGTCTCTCCCCGTCTCTCCCCCGTCTCCTCCCCGTCTCTCCCCCGTCTCTCCCCTCTCCCCGTCTCTCCTCTCCCCCGTCTCTCCCCGTCTCTCCCCCGTCTCTCCCCGTCTCTCCCCCGTCCTCCCCCGTCTCCTCCCCGTCTCTCCCCCGTCTCTCCCCCGTCTCTCCCCCGTCTCTCCCCCGTCTCTCCCCCGTCTCCTCCCCGTCTCTCCCCCGTCTCTCCCCCGTCTCTCCCCCGTCTCCTCCCCGTCTCTCCCCCGTCTCTCCCCCGTCTCTCCCCCGTCTCCTCCCCGTCTCTCCCCCGTCTCTCCCCCGTCTCTCCCCCGTCTCTCCCCCGTCTCTCCCCCGTCTCTCCCCCGTCTCTCCCCCGTCTCTCCCCCGTCTCCTCCCCCGTCTCTCCCCCGTCTCTCCCCCGTCTCTCCCCCGTCTCTCCCCGTCTCTCCCCCGTCTCTCCCCGTCTCTCCCCCGTCTCTCCCCCGTCTCTCCCCGTCTCTCCCCGTCTCTCCCCCGTCTCCTCCCCGTCTCTCCCCCGTCTCCTCCCCCGTCTCTCCCCCGTCTCTCCCCGTCTCTCCCCCGTCTCTCCCCGTCTCTCCCCGTCTCTCCCCCGTCTCTCCCCCGTCTCCTCCCCGTCTCTCCCCCGTCTCTCCCCCGTCTCTCCCCCGTCTCTCCCCCGTCTCTCCCCCGTCTCTCCCCGTCTCTCCCCCGTCTCTCCCCCGTCTCTCCCCGTCTCTCCCCCGTCTCTCCCCCGTCTCTCCCCCGTCTCTCCCCCGTCTCTCCCCCGTCTCTCCCCCGTCTCTCCCCGTCTCTCCCCCGTCTCTCCCCCGTCTCTCCCCCGTCTCCTCCCCGTCTCTCCCCCGTCTCTCCCCCGTCTCTCCCCCGTCTCTCCCCGTCTCTCCCCCGTCTCTCCCCCGTCTCTCCCCGTCTCTCCCCCGTCTCTCCCCCGTCTCTCCCCCGTCTCCTCCCCGTCTCTCCCCCGTCTCTCCCCGTCTCTCCCCCGTCTCTCCCCCGTCTCCTCCCCGTCTCTCCCCCGTCTCTCCCCCGTCTCTCCCCCGTCTCTCCCCCGTCTCTCCCCCGTCTCTCCCCCGTCTCTCCCCCGTCTCTCCCCCGTCTCTCCCCCGTCTCCTCCCCGTCTCTCCCCCGTCTCTCCCCCGTCTCTCCCCCGTCTCTCCCCCGTCTCTCCCCGTCTCTCCCCCGTCTCTCCCCGTCTCTCCCCGTCTCTCCCCCGTCTCTCCCCCGTCTCTCCCCCGTCTCTCCCCCGTCTCCTCCCCCGTCTCTCCCCCGTCTCTCCCCGTCTCTCCCCCGTCTCTCCCCCGTCTCTCCCCCGTCTCCTCCCCGTCTCTCCCCCGTCTCTCCCCGTCTCTCCCCCGTCTCTCCCCCGTCTCTCCCCCGTCTCCTCTCTCCCCCGTCTCTCCCCGTCTCTCCCCCGTCTCTCCCCCGTCTCTCCCCCGTCTCTCCCCGTCTCTCCCCCGTCTCTCCCCCGTCTCTCCCCGTCTCTCCCCCGTCTCTCCCCCGTCTCTCCCCGTCTCTCCCCGTCTCTCCCCCGTCTCTCCCCGTCTCTCCCCGTCTCTCCCCGTCTCTCCCCCGTCTCCTCCCCGTCTCTCCCCCGTCTCTCCCCCGTCTCTCCCCCGTCTCTCCCCCGTCTCTCCCCCGTCTCTCCCCCGTCTCTCCCCCGTCTCTCCCCCGTCTCTCCCCGTCTCTCCCCCGTCTCTCCCCGTCTCTCCCCCGTCTCTCCCCCGTCTCTCCCCCGTCTCTCCCCCGTCTCTCCCCCGTCTCTCCCCCGTCTCTCCCCCGTCTCTCCCCCGTCTCTCCCCCGTCTCTCCCCCGTCTCTCCCCCGTCTCCTCCCCGTCTCTCCCCCGTCTCTCCCCGTCTCTCCCCCGTCTCCTCCCCGTCTCTCCCCCGTCTCTCCCCCGTCTCTCCCCCGTCTCTCCCCCGTCTCTCCCCCGTCTCTCCCCCGTCTCTCCCCCGTCTCTCCCCGTCTCTCCCCCGTCTCTCCCCGTCTCTCCCCCGTCTCCTCCCCGTCTCTCCCCGTCTCTCCCCCGTCTCTCCCCCGTCTCTCCCCCGTCTCTCCCCCGTCTCTCCCCCGTCTCCTCCCCGTCTCTCCCCCGTCTCTCCCCCGTCTCTCCCCCGTCTCTCCCCGTCTCTCCCCGTCTCTCCCCGTCTCTCCCCCGTCTCTCCCCGTCTCTCCCCGTCTCTCCCCCGTCTCTCCCCCGTCTCCTCCCCGTCTCTCCCCCGTCTCTCCCCCGTCTCCTCCCCGTCTCTCCCCCGTCTCTCCCCGTCTCTCCCCCGTCTCCTCCCCGTCTCTCCCCCGTCTCTCCCCCGTCTCCTCCCCGTCTCTCCCCGTCTCTCCCCCGTCTCCTCCCCGTCTCTCCCCCGTCTCTCCCCCGTCTCTCCCCCGTCTCCTCCCCGTCTCTCCCCCGTCTCTCCCCCGTCTCTCCCCGTCTCTCCCCCGTCTCTCCCCCGTCTCTCCCCGTCTCTCCCCCGTCTCTCCCCCGTCTCTCCCCGTCTCTCCCCGTCTCTCCCCGTCTCTCCCCCGTCTCTCCCCCGTCTCTCCCCGTCTCTCCCCCGTCTCTCCCCGTCTCTCCCCCGTCTCTCCCCCGTCTCTCCCCGTCTCTCCCCCGTCTCTCCCCCGTCTCTCCCCCGTCTCTCTCCCCGTCTCTCCCCCGTCTCTCCCCCGTCTCTCCCCCGTCTCTCCCCCGTCTCTCCCCCGTCTCCTCCCCGTCTCCTCCCCGTCTCTCCCCCGTCTCTCCCCCGTCTCTCCCCGTCTCCTCCCCCGTCTCTCCCCCGTCTCTCCCCCGTCTCTCCCCGTCTCTCCCCCGTCTCTCCCCCGTCTCTCCCCCGTCTCTCCCCCGTCTCTCCCCCGTCTCTCCCCCGTCTCCTCCCCGTCTCTCCCCCGTCTCTCCCCGTCTCTCCCCCGTCTCCTCCCCGTCTCTCCCCCGTCTCTCCCCCGTCTCTCCCCCGTCTCTCCCCCGTCTCTCCCCCGTCTCTCCCCCGTCTCTCCCCCGTCTCTCCCCCGTCTCTCCCCGTCTCTCCCCCGTCTCTCCCCGTCTCTCCCCGTCTCTCCCCCGTCTCCTCCCCGTCTCTCCCCCGTCTCTCCCCCGTCTCTCCCCGTCTCTCCCCCGTCTCTCCCCCGTCTCTCCCCGTCTCTCCCCCGTCTCCTCCCCGTCTCTCCCCGTCTCTCCCCCGTCTCTCCCCCGTCTCTCCCCGTCTCTCCCCCGTCTCCTCCCCGTCTCTCCCCCGTCTCTCCCCGTCTCTCCCCCGTCTCTCCCCGTCTCTCCCCCGTCTCTCCCCGTCTCTCCCCCGTCTCTCCCCCGTCTCTCCCCGTCTCTCCCCCGTCTCTCCCCCGTCTCCTCCCCGTCTCTCCCCCGTCTCTCCCCGTCTCTCCCCCGTCTCTCCCCCGTCTCTCCCCCGTCTCTCCCCGTCTCTCCCCCGTCTCTCCCCCGTCTCTCCCCCGTCTCCTCCCCGTCTCTCCCCCGTCTCTCCCCCGTCTCCTCCCCGTCCTCTCCCCGTCTCTCCCCCGTCTCTCCCCCGTCTCTCCCCCGTCTCCTCCCCGTCTCTCCCCCGTCTCTCCCCCGTCTCTCCCCCGTCTCTCCCCGTCTCTCCCCCGTCTCTCCCCGTCTCTCCCCCGTCTCTCCCCCGTCTCTCCCCCGTCTCTCCCCCGTCTCTCCCCGTCTCTCCCCGTCTCTCCCCCGTCTCTCCCCGTCTCTCCCCCGTCTCTCCCCGTCTCTCCCCCGTCTCTCCCCGTCTCTCCCCCGTCTCTCCCCGTCTCTCCCCCGTCTCTCCCCCGTCTCCTCCCCGTCTCTCCCCCGTCTCTCCCCCGTCTCTCCCCGTCTCTCCCCCGTCTCTCCCCCGTCTCTCCCCGTCTCTCCCCCGTCTCTCCCCCGTCTCTCCCCGTCTCTCCCCCGTCTCTCCCCCGTCTCTCCCCGTCTCTCCCCGTCTCTCCCCCGTCTCTCCCCCGTCTCTCCCCCGTCTCTCCCCGTCTCTCCCCCGTCTCTCCCCCGTCTCTCCCCCGTCTCTCCCCCGTCTCTCCCCGTCTCTCCCCCGTCTCTCCCCGTCTCTCCCCCGTCTCTCCCCGTCTCTCCCCCGTCTCTCCCCCGTCTCTCCCCCGTCTCTCCCCCGTCTCTCCCCCGTCTCTCCCCCGTCTCCTCCCCGTCTCTCCCCCGTCTCTCCCCCGTCTCTCCCCCGTCTCTCCCCGTCTCTCCCCCGTCTCTCCCCGTCTCTCCCCCGTCTCCTCCCCGTCTCTCCCCCGTCTCTCCCCCGTCTCTCCCCCGTCTCTCCCCGTCTCTCCCCCGTCTCTCCCCCGTCTCTCCCCCGTCTCCTCCCCGTCTCTCCCCCGTCTCTCCCCCGTCTCTCCCCGTCTCTCCCCGTCTCTCCCCGTCTCTCCCCCGTCTCTCCCCGTCTCTCCCCCGTCTCCTCCCCGTCTCTCCCCGTCTCTCCCCCGTCTCTCCCCCGTCTCTCCTCCCCGTCTCTCCCCCGTCTCTCCCCCGTCTCTCCCCCGTCTCTCCCCCGTCTCTCCCCGTCTCTCCCCCGTCTCCTCCCCGTCTCTCCCCGTCTCTCCCCCGTCTCTCCCCCGTCTCTCCCCCGTCTCTCCCCCGTCTCTCCCCCGTCTCTCCCCGTCTCTCCCCCGTCTCTCCCCCGTCTCTCCCCCGTCTCTCCCCCGTCTCTCCCCCGTCTCTCCCCCGTCTCTCCCCCGTCTCTCCCCCGTCTCTCCCCCGTCTCTCCCCGTCTCTCCCCCGTCTCTCCCCGTCTCTCCCCCGTCTCTCCCCCGTCTCTCCCCCGTCTCTCCCCGTCTCTCCCCCGTCTCTCCCCCGTCTCTCCCCGTCTCCTCCCCGTCTCTCCCCCGTCTCTCCCCGTCTCTCCCCGTCTCTCCCCGTCTCTCCCCCGTCTCTCCCCGTCTCTCCCCCGTCTCTCCCCGTCTCTCCCCCGTCTCCTCCCCGTCTCTCCCCCGTCTCTCCCCGTCTCTCCCCGTCTCTCCCCCGTCTCTCCCCGTCTCTCCCCCGTCTCTCCCCGTCTCTCCCCCGTCTCTCCCCCGTCTCTCCCCCGTCTCCTCCCCCGTCTCTCCCCCGTCTCCTCCCCGTCTCTCCCCGTCTCTCCCCGTCTCTCCCCCGTCTCTCCCCCGTCTCTCCCCCGTCTCCTCCCCGTCTCTCCCCCGTCTCTCCCCGTCTCTCCCCCGTCTCTCCCCCGTCTCTCCCCCGTCTCTCCCCCGTCTCTCCCCCGTCTCTCCCCCGTCTCTCCCCGTCTCTCTCTCTCCCCGTCTCCTCCCCGTCTCTCCCCGTCTCTCCCCCGTCTCTCCCCCGTCTCTCCCCCGTCTCTCCCCCGTCTCTCCCCGTCTCTCCCCCGTCTCTCCCCCGTCTCTCCCCCGTCTCTCCCCCGTCTCTCCCCCGTCTCTCCCCCGTCTCTCCCCGTCTCTCCCCCGTCTCTCCCCCGTCTCTCCCCCGTCTCTCCCCCGTCTCTCCCCCGTCTCTCCCCGTCTCTCCCCCGTCTCTCCCCCGTCTCTCCCCGTCTCTCCCCCGTCTCTCCCCCGTCTCTCCCCGTCTCTCCCCCGTCTCTCCCCCGTCTCTCCCCCGTCTCTCCCCCGTCTCTCCCCCGTCTCTCCCCCGTCTCCTCCCCGTCTCTCCCCCGTCTCTCCCCCGTCTCTCCCCCGTCTCTCCCCCGTCTCCTCCCCGTCTCTCCCCCGTCTCTCCCCCGTCTCTCCCCGTCTCTCCCCCGTCTCTCCCCCGTCTCCTCCCCCTCTCCTTCCGTCCCTCCTTCCGCCGTCTCCTTCCCATCTCCTTCCCGTCTCCTTCCCGTCTCCTTCCCGTCCCTCCTTCCCGTCTCCTTCCCGTCTCCTTCCCGTCCCTCCTTCCCGTCCCTCCTTCCCGTCCCTCTCTCCTAAAGCTACAGCAGTTTTAATGGAGAGAGATTAAGCAGAGTTCTCCAGATCACAGAGTTCCCTGTCTGTGTTGTTCTGAACGAGAACAGTCAGAATGGTTTCAGAAATTCCAATTCAAATCAATGGATTTGATAATGTTGTTTTCTTCCATGTTTAAGGCTCATATTGTTCTTCAGATGAGACAAATATGTAAAAACATCTAAATATGTCAAACTCATATCACTGAGTCTTTCTCCTTCGTTAGAATCACCAAAAAACTGCTTCTTATAGATCAGTGAACATGAGCACTTACCCTCCCCCCTGTCTCCCCTCTGTCCCAACTCCCCTCCCCCCTCTCCCTCCCTTTTTCCCTCTCCCCCTCTCTCACCCCCCCTCCCTCTCTCCATCTCCCCCCTCTCTCCCCCCTCTCTCTCCCTCCCTCTCTCCCTCCCACCCTCTCCCATCTCTCTCCCCCTCCCCTTCCCCCCTCCCTTTCTCCCCCTCTCCCCCCCTCCCCTTCCCTCTCTCCCCTCCCTCCCTCCTTCTCCCACTGTCTCTCTCTCTCTCTCCCTCCCTTCCTCTCCCATCTCTCCCTCCCCCTTCTCCCATCTCTCTCTCCCCCCCTCCCCCCCTCCCTTTCTCCCCCTCTCTCCCTCTCTCCCCCTCCCCTCCCCCCCTTCCCTATCTCCCTCTCCCTCCCTCTCCCCCCCTTCCCTCTCTCCCTCTCCCTCCCTCTCCCCCCCTCCCTCTAACTGCCAGTAAAACCCTCTGAATGAACTGATGGTGGAGTTTCTCTCGTCTTGCCGCAGTCACACAAAGCTCCCAGTGAGTGTCGGAGCAGAGTGACGCCTCTCCACAGACAGACGCCTCTCCACAGACACACGCCTCTCCACAGACAAACACCTCTCCACAGACACACGCCTCTCCACAGACACACGCCTCTCCACAGACAGACGCCTCTCCACAGACAGACGCCTCTCCACAGACAGACGCCTCTCCACAGACAGACGCCTCTCCACAGACACACGCCTCTCCACAGACAGACGCCTCTCCACAGACAGACGCCTCTCCACAGACACACGCCTCTCCACAGACAGACGCCTCCCCACAGACACACGCCTCTCCACAGACACACGCCTCTCCACAGACACACGCCTCTCCACAGACAGACGCCTCTCCACAGACACACGCCTCTCCACAGACAGACGCCTCTCCACAGACACACGCCTCTCCACAGACAGACGCCTCTCCACAGACACACGCCTCTCCACAGACACACGCCTCTCCACAGACAGACGCCTCTCCACAGACACACGCCTCTCCACAGACAGACGCCTCTCCACAGACAGACGACTCTCCACAGACAGACGCCTCTCCACAGACACACGCCTCTCCACAGACAGATGCCTCTCCACAGACAGACGCCTCTCCACAGACACACGCCTCTCCACAGACAGACGCCTCTCCACAGACAGACGCCTCTCCACAGACAGATGCCTCTCCACAGACACACGCCTCTCCACAGACACACGCCTCTCCACAGACAGACGCCTCTCCAGACAGACGCCAATCCACAGACAGACGCCTCTCCACAGACACACGCCTCTCCACAGACGGATGCCTCTCCACAGACACACGCCTCTCCACAGACACACGCCTCTCCACAGACAGACGCCTCTCCACAGACAGACGCCTCTCCACAGACACACGCCTCTCCACAGACAGACGCCTCTCCACAGACAGACGACTCTCCACAGACAGACGCCTCTCCACAGACACACGCCTCTCCACAGACAGATGCCTCTCCACAGACAGACGCCTCTCCACAGACACACGCCTCTCCACAGACAGACGCCTCTCCACAGACAGACGCCTCTCCACAGACAGATGCCTCTCCACAGACACACGCCTCTCCACAGACACACGCCTCTCCACAGACAGACGCCTCTCCAGACAGACGCCAATCCACAGACAGACGCCTCTCCACAGACACACGCCTCTCCACAGACAGATGCCTCTCCACAGACACACGCCTCTCCACAGACACACGCCTCTCCACAGACAGACGCCTCTCCACAGACAGACGCCTCTCCACAGACAGACGACAGATTGGCAGCGGAAATTGGAGCCAATTCAACAAAAAACGATATGAAAAAGATGAACACGACGTCTTCAGTGGCGTCTAAGCTTCACCTGTTTAAGAAATATGAGGTTTTCTCTCTGCAATTTGAGCTCAGGTCTGTGCACGGAGCTTTGGAGAGAGCGGATAAAAGTTCATCACAGGCTTTCTTAGTCTCAGAGAAAAGTCAAAGAGAAGAGAGAGATGAGAGAGAAGAGAGAGAGCGTGGCGTTCCCAACAGGGTTTGAACAAGTGCAGGTGAAAAGAGGACGAGAACGAGACAAGGTCGAGGAAGTCTGAGCTGAAGACGGTCCAAAAGAACGGATAACATTTATTTACTTTGGTCTATCCTTTCTCTCCTCTTTCCTCTCTTTCCTCCTTCTCTCTCCCACCCTTATTTTTTCTCTCCTCTCTCCTCTTTCTTGTCTCTTGACCCTTCTCTCGTCTCTCCTTTTTCCTTTACTCTCTCCTCTTCCCACTCTTCTCCTCTCTTCTCTCCCCTCTCTCATATCCCAGAAACCAAACAACAACAAACCAGTATCGGTAAATTCCTTGGTAGCCATGGCTTCCAGCAGCACTCTGACCACTCACTGTCAGTTAGAACTAGAGTAGAGCAGAGCAGAGCAGAGCAGAGCAGAGCAGAGCAGAGCAGAGCAGAGTAGAGTAGAGTAGAGTAGAGTAGAGTAGAGTAGAGTAGAGTAGAGTAGAGTAGAGTAGAGTAGAGTGTGGAGGACTCTCTGCCGTGGACCTGTCTGAACGAGGAGAAGTGAGTTTGTGGTTAGAACATTTGGTAAATTCAACATAAACTCAGTGTGAACTCTGAGGTGAACCAGCTCATCAAATACTGATGGTCCCAGGGCAGGTGCGGCTGCGGAGCCACGGTCACAGAAATGGGGCCGGTTTTTGTTTATTTGGACTATCATGACTTTGAACCTCTACAGTCTCACGCTGCCGTCAGGACAGAGGCTGAAGGTCCAACAAGAAAAACAGTTAAAGGTCCCATATGTGGCTCTTCTTTATGGATCTACAGCCTCAGTCCTGGGTCTACAGCCTCAGTCCTGGATCTACAGCCTCAGTCCTGGGTCTACAGTCTCAGTCCTGGGTCTACAGCCTCAGTCCTGGATCTACAGCCTCAGTCCTGGGTCTACAGCCTCAGTCCTGGGTCTACAGCCTCAGTCCTGGATCCTACAGCCTCAGTCCTGGATCTACAGCCTCAGTCCTGGGTCTACAGCCTCAGTCCTGGGTCTACAGCCTCAGTCCTGGGTCTACAGCCTCAGTCCTGGGTCTACAGCCTCAGTCCTGGGTCTACAGCCTCAGTCCTGGGTCTACAGCCTCAGTCCTGGGTCTAGAGCCTCAGTCCTGGGTCTACAGCCTCAGTCCTGGGTCTACAGCCTCAGTCCTGGGTCTACAGCCTCAGTCCTGGGTCTACAGCCTCAGTCCTGGGTCTACAGCCTCAGTCCTGGGTCTACAGCCTCAGTCCTGGGTCTACAGCCTCAGTCCTGGGTCTAGAGCCTCAGTCCTGGGTCTAGAGCCTCAGTCCTGGGTCTACAGCCTCAGTCCTGGGTCTACAGCCTCAGTCCTGGGTCTACAGCCTCAGTCCTGGGTCTAGAGCCTCAGTCCTGGGTCTAGAGCCTCAGTCCTGGGTCTACAGCCTCAGTCCTGGGTCTACAGCCTCAGTCCTGGGTCTACAGCCTCAGTCCTGGGTCTACAGCCTCAGTCCTGGATCTACAGCCTCAGTCTTGGGTCTACAGCCTCAGTCCTGGGTCTACAGCCTCAGTCCTGCATCTACAGATCTTTACCATCAAACTGCATCTAAAAAAAAATGGGGTTATGCTAAAGATTGATTTTAATGTATTTCATTTTAGAATAGAGCTGTGTGATCCTCGTTCCTATTGTTCTGTAACTGCGGACTGCAACACTGACATTTCTTAATCTTAATCCTATTTCTGCTCTTTTTGCTGAGTGCCATTGCCTCTGATCTGACTCCACGTGAGGCTAGAATGGTGTTTCCAGCTCATTCAACCATTTTATTGGTGCCACAGTAGGGGAAATTTCAGTGTTGCATCGCCATGGTTACAGAACGGTATAGTAATTATGAGCAAAGCTAAAATCTCCAAAAGAAAAAGCTAAATTTAGCGTCTGTCTCTCTCCTCTCGACAGCTCAGAGTCTCTCCTCTCAAAAGCTCAGCGTCTCTCCTCTCGACAGCTCAGTCTCTCCTCTCGACAGCTCAGAGTCTCTCCTCTCGACAGCTCAGAGTCTCTCCTCTCGACAGCTCTCAGAGTCTCTCCTCTCGACAGCTCAGAGTCTCTCCTCTCGACAGCTCAGCGTCTCTCCTCTAGACAGCTCAGAGTCTCTCCTCTCGACAGCTCAGAGTCTCTCCTCTCGACAACTCAGAGTCTCTCCTCTCGACAGCTCTCAGAGTCTCTCTCCTCTCGACAGCTCAGAGTCTCTCCTCTCGACAGCTCAGAGTCTCTCCTCTCGACAGCTCAGAGTCTCTCCTCTCGACAGCTCAGAGTCTCTCCTCTCGACAGCTCAGAGTCTCTCCTCTCGACAGCTCAGAGTCTCTCCTCTCGACAGCTCAGAGTCTCTCCTCTCGACAGCTCAGCGTCTCTCCTCTCGACAGCTCAGAGTCTCTCCTCTCGACAGCTCAGAGTCTCTCCCCTCGAAAGCTCAGCGTCTCTCCTCTCGACAGCTCAGAGTCTCTCCTCTCGACAGCTCAGAGTCTCTCCTCTCGACAGCTCAGAGTCTCTCCTCTCGACAGCTCAGCGTCTCTCCTCTCGACAGCTCAGCGTCTCTCCTCTCGACAGCTCAGAGTCTCTCCGCTCGACAGCTCAGAGTCTCTCCTCTCGACAGCTCAGAGTCTCTCCTCTCGACAGCTCAGAGTCTCTCCCCTCGACAGCTCAGAGTCTCTCCTCTCGACAGCTCAGAGTCTCTCCTCTCAACAGCTCAGAGTCTCTCCTCTCGACAGCTCAGAGTCTCTCCTCTCGACAGCTCAGAGTCTCTCCTCTCGACAGCTCAGAGTCTCTCCCCTCGACAGCTCAGAGTCTCTCCTCTCGACAGCTCAGAGTCTCTCCTCTCGACAGCTCAGAGTCTCTCCCCTCGACAGCTCAGAGTCTCTCCTCTCAACAGCTCAGAGTCTCTCCTCTCGACAGCTCTCAGAGTCTCTCCTCTCGACAGCTCAGAGTCTCTCCTCTCGACAGCTCAGAGTCTCTCCTCTCGACAGCTCAGAGTCTCTCCTCTCGACAGCTCAGAGTCTCTCCTCTCGACAGCTCAGAGTCTCTCCTCTCGACAGCTCAGAGTCTCTCCTCTCGACAGCTCAGTCTCTCCTCTCGACAGCTCTCAGAGTCTCTCCTCTCGACAGCTCTCAGAGTCTCTCCTCTCGACAGCTCTCAGAGTCTCTCCTCTCGACAGCTCAGAGTCTCTCCTCTCGACAGCTCAGAGTCTCTCCTCTCGACAGCTCTCAGATTCAGATTCAGAGTCAGCGACGGTTCCATAAAGTCACGATTGTCATTCAGGAGGACGGAAAACTGTTTACTCTCGACGGGACGTGAAAAGAGCGATTCCAATTTGCACATCTGCTCGACACAATTTAGGCCGTTACGCTATCGCCGCGCGCTAACACATCCTTCTCCATTTAGCCGCTTCTCCTGCACCAAATACACAGGCAAATTAAATAACAGCAAAAGCATATTAAGTTCTGTGATCTGTCAAGGGAGGAGAATAGGGGGAGAGGGGGGGAGAGAGGGGGAGAGAGCAGAGAGAGGAGAGAGAGAGGAGAGAAGAGGAGAGAAGAGAGAGAGGAGAGGAGAGGAGAGGAGAGAGGAGAGAGGGGAAAGAGAGAGGATAGAGAGAGGAGAGGAGAGAGAGCAGAAAGAGAGGAGAGAGGAGAGAGAGATACTGCGGCTGTAATTCAATCCCTGAGGTTTGTAGAAAACACTTTTGAACATGAAAAACTGCTGTGACGCCTTGTTCCCTTTGGATTCACACGAAGAAAAGGTGAGATATGTAACTTCTGTCGCTTCAAAATGGCCCCGAGTCATTCAATAACAGACTTCAATCATATACAGCCTCTGTCCTGGATCTACAGCCTCAGTCCTGGGTCTACAGCCTCAGTCCTGGGTCTACAGCCTCAGTCCTGGGTCTACAGCCTCAGTCCTGGACATGAATTAACATTTCTGGACAGTGGTAATCTGTTCCTATTTGTTTGTTGTGTATGCGATAATAACATTTTCAGGAAGACTGTTCCAGATTGTTGCAGCATTAATCTGAAATGCTGCCTCTCCATGTTTGGTCCTGACTCTGCAGGGACCAGCAGGAGGCCAGTCCCTGTGCTCCGCAGAGTCCCAGCAGGAGGCCAGTCCCTGTGCTCCTCAGAGTCCCAGCAGGAGGCCAGTCCCTGTGCTCCGCAGAGTCCCAGCAGGAGGCCAGTCCCTGTGCTCCTCAGAGTCCCAGCAGGAGGCCAGTGCATAGACCTGAGACCAGGACTAACTTGATGGTACTTCCTGGTTCTCATCCGGACTCGAGCTGCAGAGTTCTTGAAATACTGCAGCCATTTTATTTGCCTTGAACAAAAAGTGAAAAAGTCTGGTAACTTACTTTCCTGAACCAGACCGTGATGCTTCTTCCCAGCTTGAGCTTCGCAGATTTTTTAATAAACTCAACACAGTTTTTTATAAAAGAGCCCACGACGACAGTTACAAGCTGTTCTTATAATCTCCCGGAGAAGTGCTCAGTTGGAAGGAGCCAATCATTCTGACGGACACATCGTTCCTGAATAAACCTCCACCTTTCGAGGCGCAGCTCAAAACACGACAATGTAAAAATAGAGACTTGGTTTGAGTCCAGTCCGTGGCGACGCAGAGAAGGAGCTGTTAGTCTATTTTACTCTCCAAAACAACAAGTACAAGAAATCAAATAAATGATGGCAGTAAATGATCTCAGTGAGAATTAGAAAGTCTGGGAGTTGGAGAGAATCAAAACTTTTTCAAAGCTATACTCGTGGAGCGCAAACCTCTGCCAAAAGCCTGGGCCGTCTCGAGATGTGAATGAGGCTGAGACTTGAGCCCTGAGGGACCCCATCACATTATGTTTATATTTCAGCTCAATCTGTCTGGTTTTTGTGCAACACACACGATTCTCTCTGGTCTCTCTTTGTTATCTCTGGTCTCTCTCGCCCGTCTTTCTATCTGGTCTCTCTCTCTCTGGTTCCTCTATCTGTTCTCTCTGGTCTCTCTTTGTTATCTCTCTCTGGTTCCTCTATCTGTTCTCTCTCTCTATCACTTGTCTCGCTCTCTCTCTCTCTATAGTCTCTCTCTCTCTTTCACTGGTCTCGCTCTCTCTCTGCAATCTCCCTTTCTCTCTATGGTCTCTCACCCTATAGTCTCCCTCTCTGGTCTCTCTCTCTGCAGTCTCCCTTTCTGGTCTCTCTCGCTCGTCTTTCTCCCTCTCTTTGGTCTCTCTCCCTCTTTAGTCTTCCTCTCTAGTATAATAATTTAAAAATGTGCCGGTGATTGCAGTCTGGTTCCTGGAATAGAACTGTGCCTCTTTGTGGAGGTCTGTGCTCTACGAGTGCTTTGCTCTAGTTAAACCTGCCGCACTGGAGGGAACATGGCTTTAAAACCACACAACACAAAATCCAAGGAGACGTTTAAATTATAAAATAATTTATTAGTAAAATTTGAAACTCAGACGTAGTCACGACAACAGAACTATCCCATGCAACAGGTTAAAGTGCAACTTCATGATCCTGATCCCTTTTCAGCAAAATGTCCGTGTCCGAGGGAATGACGCGTTTAATCTACGGGAATATAATCCAGAACAAAGAAACATCTGAAAGAAATTATGAATTAATTAAAATCTAGGTTTACAGTGAGTTTGGGACATGTCTAAAACTGAAGAGCGAAGCAACGGAAAGACAGAATACTATATTTATATCCACAAGACTGAGTTAAAGTTTAAGTTTGAGTTAGAGCTTCCACGTCTGCAAACAGTGAACCTGTGTGACGTGCACGACAGCCCCTGCATCTGTCACAACTGGAAGACTTTTGTCGGGAAAAACGGGCAAAAATTCCTCAAACTATATTTGAAAGTGGCCCTTACACAAAATATGGTTACTACATGTTAACTCCACAGGGTGTCCAAACTATTGGGCATGTGTTTTTAAAGCTGGGGTACCTTTGATATGATTCTGTTTGTTTAACAGAACTCCCAGAGCCGTCGTTTTGACTGCTCCATTCATTTGAGCGTAAAATGTAAAAATCTATTTTAGATCACTTGTTAAACAACATTCTTTGCAATTTAAAGCACCTTTATCGCCGAGGTTTCTGGACTGGTTCTGGACCGGTCTTGGACTGGCCTTGGACTGGCCCTGGACTGGTTCTGGACTGGCCCTGGACTGGTTCTGGACTAGTTCTGGACTGGTTCTGGACTGGTTCTGGACTGGTTCTGGACTGGCCCTGGACTGGTTCTGAACTGGTTATGGACTAGTTTTCCGTTCGGTTTTCGACCAGAGAAGAGCAAGTGCTAGTTACCATAGCGACACACTGTTTACATGCAGCAGTTAGCATACTGTAGCCACTGAGAAAACCTATTTTGGGAATATTTCAGAATGCCATTTCTTTCATGGGAGCAGTCAAAATGTCTGCTCCGGGAGTTCTAGTAGTTTCAGGATTTAAATGTCAAAATATCTTCTACTCTCTAAATTTAATTTGTGACTCACATCTGAATATTTGTTATCTAGCCTGATGTCGCCGTTTGCTCTTGGCCTGCGTCGCTGTTCACATAAACACGTCCCGCTGTAGGAACCTTCTGTTACTGTGACGAGGCAAAGGTCGTTTACAAAAGCTACCTACAGAAACAGTGTGTGGAGCCAGAGCTTTACAAAAATAACTTAGTATCTGTCTTTTCAGTTTCTGATGTCAGTCAGCGTTACCGTGGTTAATTTAACCAAACTGTAAACTCAACAGCAAAACTCATCCTGTCGTCACAATGAACACTTTACACACTCAGGCTTGGCACAAATGCACTTTTCACAGCTTTTCCCATGGTTCTAGTCCTTCTCCCTTTGTCACGATTGATTCAAGAGGCTAAAAATATCTGCTGATCGCCAACTTGATGTCACTGGTTTTTTTTTTCCCCTCATTTTGCGGCGATATGTGAGATTTTGAAAGTGCTAAATGGGAACTGTGTGGAGAGAGAGAGACCAGCGAGAGAAACCAGAGAGAGAAACCAGAGAGAGAGACCAGAGAGAGAAACCAGAGAGAGAAACCAGAGAGAGAGACCAGAGAGAGAAACCAGAGAGAAAGAGGCCAAAGAGAGAGTCCAGAGAAAGATTAAGAGAGACCAGGGAGAGAGACTAGAGAGAGACCTGAGAGAGAGACTAGAGAGACTTGAGAGAGACCAGAGAGAGACCTGAGAGAGAGACTAGAGAGACTTGAGAGAGACCAGAGAGAGACTAGAGAGAGACCAGAGAGAGACCAGAGAGAGACCAGAGAGAGACCAGAGAGAGACTAGAGAGAGACCAGAGAGAGACCAGAGAGAGACCAGAGAGAGACCTGAGAGAGAGACTAGAGAGACTTGAGAGAGACCAGAGAGAGACTTGAGAGAGACCAGAGAGAGAGACCAGAGAGAGAGACCAGAGAGAGTGAGTGAGACCTGAAACCAGAGAGAGAGACTAGAGAGAGAGAGACCAGAAAATGAGAGAGACCAAAGAAAGCGACTAGACAGAGCGACTTGAGAGAGAAACCAGACAGACCAGAGAGAAACACCAGAAAGAGACCAGACAGAAAGACCAGAGAGAGACCTGAGACCAGAAAGAGAGACGAGAGAGAGACCAGAGAAAGAGAGACAGAGACCTGAGAGAGAAACCAGAAAAAGAGAGAGACAGACCAGAGAGAGCTACTAGTCAGAACGACTGGAGAGAAAAACCAGAGAGAGAAAGACCATAGAGAGGTAGACCAGAGAGAGAGAGACCAGAGAGAGAGAGACCAGAGAGAGAGAGAGACCAGAGGGAGTGTCTGCTTCATCCAACCCCTTTTCAAACCTGTATTAGTGTAAAAAAGATATAAAACGGCATTCAGTAGATTTGAAATAATAAAAATAAAAAAATCCTCTGTTTTTGCGCAGTGGAAATGAGGCTCCAGAGCGTGTAAAGGAGAAAACGAGGGGAAACTAAAGCATACGCTGTGAAAAATGCATTTAACACACACATGTAGCCTTTAGCATGCTAACAGTAGATTCCATATTATCAGTATTAGTACCTAAAGCAGAACACCGTCCATTCAAAACTTTCCGACACTTGCGTAATTAATATTTTACAAACATTTATGCTCATTCTCAGTTCAAAAATATACAGTTTTTTTTTTACTCCTGCAACATAGAAAAAGCAGCACCCACGAACAGTACACACACAAAGACATTGATATGGCAGTATGAGACATGATCAGTACAGGAAGCAGAGAGCAGGATGGGAAATCTCGTCCGTCCGTCGCTTTCGGAGCCGAGAAAATTCAAGTACCACTGGTCTGTGTAAATATATATATATATACTGTATACACACACACACACACACTCAGAGGGAGAGAGGGGACGCAGCCACAGTCTTAGTCCAGTCCAAATAAACTACCACTTGACCTGGTTCGCCTCGAGAGAAGTCACGTATCCACGCTTCAGGACAGGGGTAATCAACTCTCATGTTCTCAAACGGCTGCAGGTTTTCATTCCAACCAAGCAGGAGCACACCAGACTCCACCCCTTTCTTTTCAAGTGAGTCCAGTCTTAACCATAGACTGTAAATACACCTGGAGACTTGAGGAAAGGGGTGAGGTCTACTAATAAACTACTGCTAGTCTGTTGTAGTGCTGCTTGGTTGGAATGAAAACCTGCAGACACATAGACCCTTTGAGTTAAATGCCCGCGTTGAAGGCTTTTGGTCTGGCATCAAAGTGAGAACAAGAAATTTTAAACTATCATTTTGGATGGGTACATGGAAAATCCTTGTACACATTCACTTATACTAGTTATACATGTAAACAGGGTTAGCATTAGCATTAGCTTCAGTCTACATCAGGTTTTCTCCTGATCTGTAAGTTTATAGGGCAAAATCTTCAATAGGGATGGGCGATAAAAGTTTACCGATATTAGCCAGGACCAAGGGGCCAGAGAGAGAGACCAGAGAGAGAGACCAGAGATAGACCAGAGAGAGAGACCAAAGAGAGACCAGAGAGAGACAAGAGATAGACCAGAGATAGACCAGAGAGAGACCAGAGAGAGACCAGAGAGAGACCAGGAGAGACCAGAGAGAGACCAGAGAGAGGACAGAGAGAGACCAGAGAGAGATCAGAGAGAGATCAGAGAGAGACCAGGAGAGACCAGAGAGAGACCAGAGAGAGACCAGAGAGAGGACAGAGAGAGACCAGAGAGAGACCAGGAGAGACCAGAGAGAGACCAGAGAGAGATCAGAGAGAGATCAGAGAGAGACCAGGAGAGACCAGAGAGAGACCAGAGAGAGACCAGAGAGAGACCAGAGAGAGGACAGAGAGAGACCAGAGAGAGACCAGAGAGAGACCAGAGAGAGACCAGAGACAAATCCCTTGTAAACGGCACAAGGAACAAATGACGTTGATATTTTGGATCATATTTGGTTTTGGCAAATACCGCCCCATCCCTAAAATCCGACAGTTATAGTTTAATCTTCTGTTGAAACACTTTGGAGCCAGGCCACGCCTCCAACACGTCCAGGACTCATTTTCATATTAGTCTAAAGTTAAAGGAGCGGCTTCAGAAGTTCTGCAGCTCCGGAATGTTCTTGTAAAGGTCCAGAGAGTCCGGGTTTGAGAAGGCCCCTCTCTGCGACACCTCTCGACCCGCGATCACCTGCTTCACCGCCACCTCCACCTTCTTCCCGCTGATGGTGTACTGCACACACACACACACACACACACAGAGAGAGAGAGAGAGAGAGAGAGGAGAGGTCAGGTTATTTATATAGCACCTGTAGAAAGGAGGAGGAAGACTACAGGTTTGTGAGATTTAGTCTGTTATAAATAAGATAGATAGATAGATAGATAGATAGATAGATAGATAGATAGATAGATAGAGAGAGAGAGAGAGACAGGGAGAGAGGTCCTGGGTCTACAGCCTCAGTCCTGGGTCTACAGCCTCAGTCCTGGGTCTACTCACTGGAATGTCTTTGGTCTCCAGCAGCAGAGCGGGGACGTGGCGAGCGGACAGGGCCTTCCTGATGGCCCCTCTGATCCGCGACACCAGGTCTGGACTGAAGGGGATCCCAGGGGCCATCTTTAAGAACAGGATGACCCTCTCCTCTCCGTCTGCGTTGTACTGAGGCACACACAGGCTGTCGGACACCTCCTCAAACGCCTCCACTAAAAACACACACACGGTTTGTTTAAAGTGTACACTCTGTCAGAAATGATAAGGTTATAAGCACATTGGACACTCAAAACTTGTCAAATTATAGCCATGGCTTGCATAGAGGTGATGTCACATTGTTAAATTCTCTTCTGGGGAGATTTCTAACGAGCAGGTCATGCAAGGTGGCCCAGGAATGTACATAAACTGGAGGCTTTTTGGCAAGAACAAGAGGCAGCTTCATCATCAGATAAAAGAAGGTGAGAGACCACAGCAAGAGAGAGAGGGAGAAGAACGGCATGAGAGAGAGAGAGAGACCAGAGAAAGAGAGACAAGAGAAAGAGAGACAAGAGAAAGAGAGACGAGAAAGAGAGACAAGAGAAAGAGAGACGAGAAAGAGAGACAAGAGAGAGGGACCAGAGCAAGAGAGAGAGGGAGAAGAGCGGCATGAGAGGGAGAGAGAGACCAGAGAAAGAGAGACAAGAGAGAGGGACCAGAGAAAGAGAGACGAGAAAGAGAGACAAGAGAGAGGGACCAGAGAAAGAGAGACGAGAAAGAGAGACAAGAGAAAGGGACCAGAGCAAGAGAGAGAGGGAGAAGAGCGGCATGAGAGAGAGAGAGAGACCAGAGAAAGAGAGACAAGAGAAAGAGAGACAAGAGAGAGAGACCAGAGAAAGAGAGACGAGAAAGAGAGACAAGAGAGAGGGACCAGAGCAAGAGAGAGAGGGAGAAGAGCGGCATGAGAGGGAGAGAGAGACCAGAGAAAGAGAGACAAGAGAAAGAGAGACAAGAGAGAGAGACCAGAGAAAGAGAGACGAGAAAGAGAGACAAGAGAGAGGGACCAGAGCAAGAGAGAGAGGGAGAAGAACGGCATGAGAGAGAGAGACCAGAGAAAGAGAGACAAGAGAGAGGGACCAAAGAAAGAGAGAGGGACCAGAGAAAGAGAGACTAGAGAAAGAGAAAGAAGATATTAGAGAAAGAGAGACCAGAGAGAGGGAGAGACCAGATAAAGAGACAAGAGAGATAGAGATACAAGAGACCAGAGAATGAGAGACCAGGGCGAGCGAGAGAGAGACCGGAGAGATACAGTAAAGGTGCAGAACGATAAAAGACGGAGAGAGACCATAAAGACAAAAGAGAGAGACCAGATAAAGAGAGAGAGACCAGGGAGAAAAAGAGAGAACCTCACCCACAACCACTACAAAAGGACTCCTCGCTGTAGATGTTAAAGGGGGATGGAGACTTCTGCTCAGGGACTAACAATGAGAACAATCTGTGTGGTATCATTCATAAAGTCTGAAAAGTGGCCAAGAGAAATAAAATGGACTTCTGTGTGTTCAGGGTGTAACCTCTGAAGCACAGACGTAAACACAGGATCTGGACCTTGTTGATAATGATGAGACAGAATGTTACCAATATTGTAGATCTCTGAGCTGCCAAAGCGGACTCCGTTAGGGTTCAGGGTCCCATCACTGGAAAGAGGATAATAATGATTACATAAGTCTTTTAAGAGAGACCAGAGAGAGACCAGAGAGAGACCAGAGGGAGACAAGAGGGAGACAAGAGAGAGACCAGAGACCAGAGAGAGACCAGAGAGAGACCAGAGAGAGACCAGAGAGAGACCAGAGTGAGACCAGAGGGAGACAAGAGGGAGACAAGAGAGAGACCAAAGAGACCAGAGAGAGACCGAGGGGGAGACCAGAGAGAGACCAGAGAGAGACCAGAGAGAGACCAGAGAGAGACCAGAGTGAGACCAGAGTGAGACCAGAGGGAGACAAGAGGGAGACCAGAGAGAGACCAGAGAGAGGGGAGACCAGAGAGAGACCAGAGAGAGACCAGAGAGAGACCAGAGAGAGACCAGAGGGAGACCAGAGGGAGACCAGAGAGAGACCAAAGAGACCAGAGAGAGACCGAGGGGGAGACGAGAGAGACACCAGAGAGAGACCAGAGTGATACCAGAGAGAGACCAGAGTGAGACCAGAGAGAGACCAGAGAGAGACCAGAGAGAGACCAGAGAGAGACCAGAGTGAGACCAGAGTGAGACCAGAGACCAGAGAGAGACCAGAGAGAGACCAGAGAGAGACCAGAGGGAGACCAGAGAGAGACTAGTGAGAGACCAGAGAGACCAGAGAGAGACCGAGGGGGAGAAGAGAGAGAGACACCAGAGTGAGACCAGAGAGAGGGAGTTATTGAAGATTTTTTTCTCCTCATAATAATAGATTTAGTTTTCGGACCTTCTTCCCAACATGACGATGCCTCCGGTCTTGGGGTTGATCTTGCAGTAGTCGCCGTGAGCCCAGACCCCTGTGGAGGTGACATAGCTCCGTTATTGTGGTTTGAAAGTTACGTACCCCAGCATTACACGCGAGGGGAGAGCGTGCGATGTGTTTTGTGGTGTTCACCTGGGAAAGTGGAGAAGTAGGCCTTGTGGTATTTGCTGCCGTTTTCGTCGTTCCAAAAGTGCGTGGGTTGACAAGGGATGGGCTTCAGGCAGACGAGCTCGCCACTCTCCCCCCACACGGCCTTACCTGGACACACGAGAAAAACATACAATCTCAGAGCAGAGAGAGAGGAGAGAGAGAGGAGGGAGAGCAGAGAGAGAGGAGAGAGAGAGGAGGGAGAGCAGAGAGAGAGCAGACAGAGAGGATAGAGAGAGCAGAGAGAGCAGAGAGAGAGAGAGGAGAGAGACCAGAGAGAGACCAAAAAGAGAGCAGAGAGAGACCAGACCAACAAGAGAGAGACCAAAGAGATCAAAGAGAGACCAGAGAGAGAGACCAAAAAAAGAGCAGCCAAATCAGAGAGAGAGACCGGAAAGACCAGCATGAGACAGAAGAGAGTGACCAAAGAGAGAAAGACTAGAGAGTGACCAAAGCAAGACCAGAGAGAAACCAGAGAGAGACCAGAGAGGGTCTCTCCAGAGAGGGACTAGAGAGAGACCAGAGAGAGAGAACAGAGAGAGACCAAAGAGCGAGACCAGAGAGACCAGAGAGAGACCAGAGAGAGAGACCAGAGAGAGACCAGAGAGAGACCAGAGAGAGAGACCACAGAGAGACCAGAGAGAGAGACCAGAGAGAGACCAGAGAGAGAGACCAGAGAGAGACCAGAGAGAGTGACCAGAGAGAGAGACCACAGAGAGAGACCAGAGAGCGAGACCAGAGAGAGACCAGAGAGAGACCAGAGAGAGAGACCAGAGAGAGACCAGAGAGAGACCAGAGAGAGACCACAGAGAGAGACCAGAGAGAGAGACCAGAGAGAGACACCAGAGAGACCAGAGAGAGACCAGAGAGAGACCAGAGAGAGACCAGAGAGAGACCAGAGAGAGAGACCAGAGAGAGAGACCAGAGAGAGACCAGAGAGAGAGACCAGAGAGAGACCAGAGAGAGACCAGAGAGAGACCAGAGAGAGTGACCAGAGAGAGAGACCAGAGAGAGAGACCAGAGAGAGAGACCAGAGAGAGGCCAGAGAGAGACCAGAGAGAGACCAGAGAGAGAGACCAGAGAGAGAACAAATAGCTTCAGGCAGACAAGCTCGGCACTCTCCCTTCACACGGCCTTACCTGCGCACCACGCACGTACACACACACACACACACACAAAACAAAAACACAAATTCTCAACAAAGTGACCAATAGACACACACACACACACACAGCATGCAAACACTGTAGCATCGACAGCTAACACCTGGTCCCGCGGGGTTAGCATTAAAGGCTTAAAGACGGGGACTGAAATAATCCGGACCTTTTCCTGCAAAACAGTTTGTAAATGATGGTTGGATAGATCTGCTTTGAGGCGGTGGAAGTGTGCCAGTGCGGCCTGCAGCGGGGATCGAAGCGCCGGGAATAAGGGACGGAAATCAATGAGCAAAACATACAGAGCTTTGAAGGCTCCCAGCGAGATGAGAAATGGGCTTTTTGTGCCATTTTGCTGATGAAGAATGAGAGCCGGTGGTTTTATGGGCTGGAAATGTCCGGTTCAAAGTCTATTACAGGGTGTGGATCGGATGTCAGCCAGTGAGGAGGCAAATGAAAGCGTTTTGCACAAGTTGGTATCGGCGATGATGGAACAAGTTGGATTCACTTTTTGTTCTGGCAGGAAATATAGAAATGAACTCCAACTAGACCAGGAGAGCATGGATCATTTAGTGTTTTGACTGGATTAAGGCTGTTCCGGGCTTTTAAATGAGAGACAAGAGAGAGAGAGAAGAGAGACCATAGAGCAGAGAGACCATAGAGCAGAGAGAGAGAGCAGAGAGAGACCAGAGAGAGACCAGAGAGCAGAGAGAGAGAGCAGAGAGACCATAGAGCAGAGAGAGAGAGCAGAGAGAGACCAGAGAGAGACCAGAGAGCAGAGAGAGAGAGCAGAGACCATAGAGCAGAGAGAGCAGAGAGAGAGCAGAGAGCAGAGAGAGACGAGAGAGCAGAGAGACACCATAGAGCAGAGAGAGACAAGAGATTAGAGAGAGAGCAGAGAGAGACCAGAGAGCAGAGAGAAACCAGAGAGCAGAGAGACCATAGAGCAGAGAGAGACCAGAGAGCAGAGAGAAACCAGAGAGCAGAGAGACCATAGAGCAGCGAGAGACCATAGAGTAGAGAAAGAGAACAGAGATTAGAGAGAGAGCAGAGAGAGACCAGAGAGCAGAGAGACCATGGAGCAGAGAGAGAGACAAGAGGGAGACCATAAGGAGACCAGAGAGAGAAACAAGAGAAAGGAAGAGACCAGAGAGAGACTTGAGAGAGAGAAATAGGCCAGAGAGAGACGAGAGAGAGACCAGAGAGCGACAGCAGACAGAGCAGGGAGACCTTATAGAGACTTGAGACCATAGAGAGAACAGAGAAACCAGAAAGAGATCAGAGAGAGGTCAGGGAGAGACCAGAGAGAGACCATAGAGAGACCAGGGAGAGAGCAGAGAGAGAGCAGAGAGAGAGCAGAGAGAGACCAGAGAGAGAGCAGAGAGAGACCAGAATAAGAGTAACACCCAAAGACTCCCAAAGTTCCCTCAGGTGTGGCCTCTCACCGTCGAAGCCCCAGGCCTCCACTGCCATGCCCAGGTTCCGGGTTTGGATCTCCCCTCTGTAGACTGGAACGGTCGGGTTCTGTCCCATGAAGCAGGACACGATGTCTGTTCCTCCTGGAGAGAGAGAGAGAGAGAGAGAGAGCGAGAGAGAGAGAGAGAGAGAGAGAGAGGGGAAAGTTATGGTTCTGTTTCGAAAATGTGTCAAAAATGTGTAATCCCTGGAGCTACAATCTTCTACATGTTTTGTTGTTGGGAGTACATTTGAAATCCACATATGGTATATTTGCAACTGAATTTTACGTTAAATGCACATACGAGGCTCTTGATCCAGGACTGAGGCTGTAGATCCAGGACTGAGGCTGTAGATCCAGGACTGAGGCTGTAGACCCAGGACTGAGACTGTAGACCCAGGACTGAGACTGTAGACCCAGGACTGAGGCTGTAGATCCAGGACTGAGGCTGTAGACCCAGGACTGAGGCTGTAGATCCAGGACTGAGGCTGTAGACCCAGGACTGAGGCTGTAGACCCAGGACTGAGGCTGTAGATCCAGGACTGAGGCTGTAGACCCAGGACTGAGGCTGTAGATCCAGGACTGAGGCTGTAGACCCAGGACTGAGGCTGTAGATCCAGGACTGAGGCTGTAGACCCAGGACTGAGGCTGTAGACCCAGGACTGAGGCTGTAGATCCAGGACTGAGACTGTAGACCCAGGACTGAGGCTGTAGACCCAGGACCACTGAGGCTGTAGATCCAGGACTGAGGCTGTAGACCCAGGACTGAGGCTCTAGACCCAGGACTGAGGCTGTAGACCCAGGACTGAGGCTGTAGACCCAGGACTGAGGCTGTAGACCCAGGACTGAGGCTGTAGATCCAGGACTGAGGCTGTAGACCCAGGACTGAGGCTGTAGACCCAGGACTGAGGCTGTAGACCCAGGACTGAGGCTGTAGACCCAGGACTGAGGCTGTAGTCACCTTTACAGTACCACTGATAATCCTCTGCACCTTTGCTACCTCTGATCCATTTTGGCGACATTATTTAAATTCCTCAAAAGTACGGTGGCCTAGATACGCTCCGGCTCCGACAGAACATCCACTTTTCTTCTTCCCTTTTGTTTTCGCACCTTTCAATAAAGAACTATTTCTGACACCTCGGTCCCATTGTTGCTTCTATACCTTCGCGTTCCTCCTCCCTTTTATCAGACTCCATCCATCTTCCCCCCGTCCCCTCTCCGCCCCCCAACACTTTCTTTTAAAGTCTCTTCTTGCAGCGTCTTTGTCGAGCTTTAATTGGCTCCCAGGAGAAAGAGAAAGCCTCGTGATTAAACACACAAAGTTGTACTGCGCCGACAACCTATTACACCATTACCACACACTAATGACCGCCACACACACAGAGGGGAGGTGTTTTGGCTCTGGTCTGTCTCTCTCTCTCTCTCTCTCTCTCTGGCTGTCTGTCTCTCTCTCTCTCTCTCTCTCTGGCTGTCTCTCTCTCTGTCTGTCTGTCTGTCTGTCTCTCTCTCTCTCTCTCTCTCTCTGTCTGTCTCTCTTCTGAAGGCCAAACGATACATGATACTTTTATTATTATAAATACAGATTATAAATGTTTTTGGCTGTGAACATGACAAAATGTGAATACGTTTACGCTGTGTTCAAAACCTGGAGAGACACCGTTTTATTTTTAACTGAGAAATGACTTTTCCTGGTCTTAAAAGAAGAAAAACAAGCCTAGTTTTTGCACATTGTCCTGCTTCGTCTAAAATCTCATTCATTCTCTCCGTGCCCTCGCTCCTCCGCAACAAGACTTTCTGTTTTGTGACTCATCTTAAAAAAAAACCCGAAAAAAGCAGCCTGCCCCAATGGAAGCGCAGACATTCAGGACGAGTCTGTTGTTGGCGGCGCATAAAGAAGTGTGGATTATGCCCCGTCATGCAAAGGTAGAAGGACCACCCTGAACTCTCCGCTCGGAGCGTGCGGCGGCATCCTCTCCTCATTTACAAACTCTGCTGTTTCTCCGTCTCCATTTTGATTAAGCCGGAGCTCACCCTGGGTCCACTCTTAGCAATGTACAAGTCTGCTCCTGTTTCAGAAGCAACTTTTTGAGGATGACCGTCTCGCGTCTGTGTGAGGAGAGCTGTCTTTGTGAGGAGAGCTGTCTTTGTGAGGAGAGCTGTCTTTGTGAGGAGAGCTGTCTTTGTGAGGAGAGCTGTCTTTGTTAGGAGAGCTGTTGAGGTTTTTGTTGACCTCGAGAGCCTCATTCACACTGAGCAAAACCACAGTCTTTTTGCAGAGACTGTTCAGTGTGATCGATACCAATAATACCAATAATCTAGTGTCTTTCTCTAGTCTCTCTCTCTGCTCTCTCTCTAGTCTCTCTCTCTGCCCTCTCTGCTCTCTCTCTGCTCTCTCTTTGCTCTTTCTCTAGTCTCTCTCTACTCTCTCTAGTCTCTCTCTTTATTTATTTATTTATTTTTATACCGCCTTTTCACTGCAGACCTGAGTCTCAAAGCGGTTTACAATTGTTAATTTTGGGCATTTGTCTCTCACTCCACACAGAGATGGGAGCAGGGTCACCAGTACAGGAGGCGCATGCCAGAACTATTGTACATATTTTTAGTGGTAGGGGAAACCGGAGTACCCGGAGGAAACCTACACGGGGAGAACATGCAAACTCCACTCAGAACGGCCCTGGTCCGACCGGGATTAGAACCCAGGACCTTCTTGCTGAGAGGCGAGAGTGCTATCCACTCAGCCACGGTGGCTGCCTTTAACCCGACAGTGGAATCATCAGTTTTCAACTTTGATTGTTCTGACGCAGAGTTTGTTGGTGCAGATCGTTTCACTTCTACTCTCAGTAAAACTTATCAGGCTCTTGCTGCTTCACCGAGCTCCAGCTTTTGTCGGATGAGTTCGACAATACGGCGACATGCAGCGGGATTCCTTCTATTGTCTCCAAACCAACTTTTTATCAGCTTCTTTTATCTGTAACGTGATCACGAGACCTGGAGAGTCTCAGTCCTGGGTCTACAGCCTCAGTCACTCCTCCCTCTTCCTCCCTCTTCCTCCCTCTTCCTCCCTCTTCCTCCCTCTTTCTCCCTCTTCCTCCCTCTTCCTCTCTCTCCCCCCCTCTGCCTCCCTCTTCCTCCCTCTTCCTCTCTCTCCCCCCCTCTGCCTCCCTCTTCCTCCCTCTTCCTCCCCCTGCCTCCCTCTTCCTCCCTCTTCCTCCCACTTCCTCCCCCTGCCTCCCTCTTCCTCCCTCTTCCTCCCTCTTCCTCCCTCTTTCTCCCTCTTCCTCCCTCTTCCTCTCTCTCCCCCCCTCTGCCTCCCTCTTCCTCCCTCTTCCTCTCTCTCCCCCCCTGCCTCCCTCTTCCTCCCTTTTCCTCCCTCTTGCTCCCCCTGCCTCCCTCTTCCTCCCTCTTCCTCCCACTTCCTCCCTCTGCCTCCCTCTTCCTCTCTCTCCCCCCTCTGCCGCCCTCTTCCTTCCTCTTCCTTCCTCTGCCTCCCTCTTCCTCTCTCTTCCTCCCTCTGCCTCCCTCTTTCTCTCTCTCCCCCCCTCTGCCTCCCTCTTCCTCCCCCTGTCTCCCTCCTCCTCCCTCTTCCTCTCTCTCCCCCCCTCTGCCTCCCTCTCCCCCCCGCTGCCTCCCTCTTCCTCCCCCTGTCTCCCTCCTCCTCCCTCCTCCTCCCTCTTCCTCCCTCTTCCTCCCTCCTCTCTTTAACAGTCATGAGATGAAGCCAGAATAACAGATCCTCGGTGGAGAATGACTCACGCCGTTTGCTAATTCGATTCTGTTGATTGCGTCTTGTCATCTCCAGGATGTGGGAGCGGACTTCAGTTGCTTTTAATTGACAACTTTGTGGCTATTGTTCGGACTCCCACATGTTTTGATTGTTGCAGCCTGGTACAAGTGCATAACGTTTAAAATTAACTCACAAATATATCTGGTTTTTTGTGTTTCCAGCATCACTGTTTTCGGGACCGGGGCCAAGTGGCTGTCGGTGCTGGAGGAGAGGAACCTAAAACCCAGTGAGTTCAGACATGTACCGTTCATGTTAATGTTGATTTTAAACTACAGTCAAACCTGGAAAAAATCACACGCTCTCAATAGGGGTGGGAACCTAAGGGTACCTCACGATACGATACGATACACGATACAAAGCTCACGATATGACAATTATTGATATATTGGTCAGAAATATACAATATGCCAAAATTTATGGCATAAATAAAAAAAAAAAACACTTTATTTCATGATAAATAGAATGGAGATGCGTAATGTAGCCATATATTAATTATTGATACAATTTTTTTTTTTTTTATCTTTTTTTTTTTTTTTTTTTTTAGATATTGATACTTGGAAAATGCATATCGATAATCGAATCGCGGGAGAAAGTATCGCGATCTATCAAAAAATCGATTTATCGTCACACCCCTAGCTCTCAAACAGACATAGTTCAGCCGTTCTTTTTACTTTGTCGACCAAAACCAAGGCTCATGCTTCCTCCTGGAAACATGGATTAACCTACCAAACCCCCTTCGTCCAGACTGGCTGGAGCCAAAGGTGAATCACAATACAACTATATCAGTATTCAATGTATTTCAACCACTTATGATTCAATAAAATGAATCATAAACAACATTCTAATGTCAGTTCACCGCAGAGAAACTGAGAAACCCACATATTTGCACGACTATAAACTTCTATTTTAATGCAGTGCTTTGATCTAGAGATTGACCGACATATACGTTTGTTTTAAGTTTCAAAATCGGCCAAACTTCTTCCCATACCGCCTTTATGCACCTTGGCAAAGTGCTAGAGGAAAAAATCTCTTCTGTTCAGTATTGCGATATTTTGCGGTCGTAATTAAATCGACAATAGAAAAAAAGTATTGCAGTATCTAACCAAACAATTATCCGTTTCACTTTTGTTTTTCTTTTCCTCCATGGTGTCTGCTTGTGGCTTTTAAATCTCCGAAATTCAGTATTGGTTCCGAAGAGTCCAAACCGGTCGCTCTGTAGATCTTTTCCCAACCCCCGTCGGAACCAGACACACGTGGATGCTCTCGTCTCTCCGCTCGCTTCAGAGAAAAGACTAGAAATGGAGCAGAAAATGACACAGACATGACGGACAGTGTAACGACCATAATGAGTGTGTTCTGACCGCTCGCCCTTTCGTCTGTTTGGCTCGTGACGCCGATAATTATCTCCATCTCTCTCCATCTCTCTCCATCTCTCTCCATCTCTCCAGCTCTCTCTATCTCTCTCCATCTCTTTCCACCTCTCTCCAGCTCTCTCCATCTCTTTCCGGAGACACAGTCGGCCCCTTGTTGAAGAGTCATTGTTGCCTCCAGAACAGGCAGCTGACAGCTCAGACTCCTTTCAGAGCAGAGCACCTATCTCGGGTCTCTCTCTAGTGTCTCTCTGGTCTCTCTCTGGTCTCTCTCGGGTCTCTCTCTAGTGTCTCTCTGGTCTCTCTCTGGTCTCTCTCGGGTCTCTCTCTAGTGTCTCTCCGGTCTCTCTCTGGTCTCTCTCGGGTCTCTCTCTAGTGTCTCTCTGGTCTCTCTCTGGCCTTTCTATCTCTGGTGTCTCTCTGGTCTCTCTCGGGTCTCTCTCTAGTGTCTCTCTGGTCTCTCTCTGGTCTCTCTCTGGCCTTTCTATCTCTGGTCTCTCTCTGGTCTCTCTCTGGCCTTTCTATCTCTGGTGTCTCTCGGGTCTCTCTCTGGCCTTTCTATCTCTGGTGTCTCTCTGGTCTCTCTCTCTGGTCTCTCTGCCCTTTCTGCTCTCTCTCTCTGCTCTCTGCACTCTCTCTCTAGTCTCTCTGCGCTCTCTCTCTAGTTGCTCTCTAGTCTCTCTTGTCTGTCTCTCTGGTCTCTCTCAGGTCTCTCTCTCAGGCCTCTCTCCTCTCTCTCTCTTCTCTTTCTCTAGTCTCTCTCTTGTCCAGTCTTTATAGCACAGGTGTGTGATGTTAAGCTAGCGGGTTAGCATCGTCCATTTATAAACAGTCTTATCTACAGTCCTGATCCTGATCCTGGTCCTGAACCTTCTGCACTCAGAGCATTAATGTCTCTGTCTCTGGTTAAGTTTGGTTGAAGTGGACTAACACTGAGGCGGGACTCTGGAGAAAAGCTTTTTGGACGGATGTGCTAAAATGTTGCTGTGTTTTTTTCTCCCAACATCAAAAGCTTTTTCAGTTTGTTTGCTTTGATTCATAAAAGAGGAGTTTGTTTACTTTGTTTATGTCGTTACGTCCATAATTAATGCTTCATGAAATCTGTGTTTACTGCAACATGTTTCTGTGCTTCAAACTCATTCTCCTCAAAACTTTTATTGTCTCTTTTCTCCGTGTTTCAACATTGTTCCTCAGTCACTAAGGCAGGACTAAAGCAGGACTAAATCAGGACTAAAACAGGACTAAAGCAGGACTAAAGCAGGACTAAAGCAGGACTAAGGCAGGACTAAAGCAGGACTAAATCAGGACTAAAGCAGGACTAAAGCAGGTCTAAAGCAGGACTAAAGCAGGACTAAAGCAGGACTAAAGCAGGTCTAAAGCAGGACTAAGGCAGGACTAAATCAGGACTAAAGCAGGTCTAAGGCAGGACTAAGGCAGGACTAAAGCAGGTCTAAAGCAGGTCTAAAGCAGGTCTAAAGCAGGACTAAAGCAGGACTAAAGCAGGTCTAAAGCAGGTCTAAAGCAGGACTAAAGCAGGACTAAAGCAGGTCTAAAGCAGGTCTAAAGCAGGACTAAGGCAGGACTAAGGCAGGACTAAAGCAGGACTAAAGCAGGTCTAAAGCAGGTCTAAAGCAGGTCTAAAGCAGGTCTAAAGCAGGACTAAAGCAGGACTAAAGCAGGACTAAAGCAGGAATAAAGCAGGAATAAAGCAGGACTAAAGCAGGACTAAAGCAGGTCCCAAAGCAGGTCATAAAGCAGGACTAGAGCAGGTCTAAAGCAGGTCTAAAGCAGATCTAGAGCAGGACTAGAGCAGGTCTAAAGCAGGTCCTAAAGCAGGTCTAAAGCAGGTCTAAAGCAGGTCTAAAGCAGGACTAGAGCAGGACTAGAGCAGGACTAGAGCAGCACTAGAGCAGGACTAGAGCAGCACTAGAGCAGGACTAGAGCAGGACTAGAGCAGGACTAGAGCAGGTCTAGAGCAGGACTAGAGCAGCACTAGAGCAGGACTAGAGCAGGACTAGAGCAGGTCTAGAGCAGGACTAGAGCAGCACTAGAGCAGCACTAGAGCAGGACTAGAGCAGGACTAGAGCAGGACTAGAGCAGGTCTAGAGCAGGACTAGAGCAGGTCTAGAGCAGGACTAGAGCAGGTCTAAACCAGGTCTAGAGCAGGACTAGAGCAGGACTAGAGCAGGACTAGAGCAGGACTAGAGCAGGACTAGAGCAGGACTAGAGCAGGTCTAGAGCAGGTCTAGAGCAGGACTAGAGCAGGTCTAAAGCAGGTCTAAAGTAGGTCTAGAGCAGGTCTAAACCAGGTCTAAAGCAGGAATAAATCAGGTCTAAAGCAGGTCTAGAGCAGGTCTAGAGCAGGTCTAAAGCAGGACTAGAGCAGGTATAAAGCAGGTCTAAAGCAGGTCTAGAGCAGGACTAGAGCAGGACTAGAGCAGGTCTAAAGCAGGTCTAAAGTAGGTCTAGAGCAGGTCTAGAGCAGGTCTAAAGCAGGTCTAAAGCAGGACTAAAGCAGGACTAAAGCAGGTCTAAAGCAGGTCTAGAGTAGGACTAAAGCAGGACTAAAGCAGGTCTAAAGCAGGTCTAGAGTAGGACTAAAGCAGGACTAAAGCAGGTCTAAAGCAGGACTAGAGCAGCTGAAGTTTAGTTTTTGATTTTAGATACGACCAAATCCTTATCAACATGACGCCACTAAAAACATATTTTCAACATCGTCTGTGAGAAAACAAAACCTAAAGAACCACAAATCTAAAATCCCAAACACACGTCACAGAATCGTTGATGAGTCCCAAAACATTGAGCCGGATTTGGCCTTTAGTCTGAGCCGTTTGGAGCCTGTGGAACCTCGGCGTGTGGTCCGCCTCCAGTGTGAGGGAGGGCAGGGGGCTCTGTCACCGCCTGTCCCAGCGGAGGAGCCCTTTCCCTGGGCTGACATTTGGACGAGGACCTGCAGCTTCCTGGAGGCAGCGGCGTTCAGGGGGTTTTGTGAGATCAGGGACAGTCTGATCTAAATCTCCATCGTTGGGGGAGGTTCGTGATGTGCACAGTGAGGGTGGCTTTAGATTCTGAATACATTTACATTCATACAAACACTGCATCTGTCTTTTGTAGATAGAAATTATAAACAAAATCATTTAGGGCGGCAGTAGCTCAGTTGGTAGAGCGTTGGCCTTTGAGCCAGAGGGTCGTGGGTTCAAGCCCCGCTCAAGACTTTCACCATCAACTCCCACTGTCTGCTGTTGTTGTGTCCTTGGCAAGACACTTCACCCCCATTGCCTGGAATGAGTCTGGTGTGTGTATGAATGGTTGGTGGTGGTCGGAGGGGCCGATGGCGCATACTGGTTGCCTCGCTTCTGTCAGTGTGCCCCAGGGCAGCTGTGGCTACAGTAGTAGTTTATCACCACCGTGTTTGGAGTGAATGAATAATGACACATGTGAAGCGTCTTTGAGTGTCCAAAAAAGCGCTATATAAAACCGATGCATTATTATTATTATTATTATTATCTAATCGGGACTAAAGCAGAGGAAAAGCAGGACGAAAGCAAGTATAAGGCAGGTCTAAAGCAGGTCTAAAGCAGGACTAAAGCGAGTCCAAAACAGGACTAAAGCAGGTCTAAAGCAGAGACTGAAGCAGAGACTGAAGCAGAGACTGAAGCAGAGACTGAAGCAGAGACTGAGGCAGAGACTGAGGCAGAGACTGAGGCAGAGACTGAGGCAGAGACTGAAGCAGAGACTGAGGCAGAGACTGAGGCAGAGACTGAGGCAGAGACTGAGGCAGAGACTGAGGCAGAGACTGAAGCAGAGACTGAAGCAGAGACTGAGGCAGAGACTGAGGCAGAGACTGAAGCAGAGACTGAAGCAGAGACTGAAGCAGAGACTGAGGCAGAGACTGAGGCAGAGACTGAGGCAGAGACTGAGGCAGAGACTGAAGCAGAGACTGAGGCAGAGACTGAAGCAGAGACTGAGGCAGAGACTGAAGCAGAGACTGAGGCAGAGACTGAGGCAGAGACTGAGGCAGAGACTGAGGCAGAGACTGAGGCAGAGACTGAGGCAGAGACTGAAGCAGAGACTGAGGCAGAGACTGAGGCAGAGACTGAAGCAGACACTGAAGCAGAGACTGAAGCAGAGACTGAGGCAGAGACTGAAGCAGAGACTGAAGCAGAGACTGAGGCAGAGACTGAGGCAGAGACTGAGGCAGAGACTGAGGCAGAGACTGAGGCAGAGACTGAGGCAGAGACTGAGGCAGAGACTGAGGCAGAGACTGAGGCAGAGACTGAGGCAGAGACTGAGGCAGAGACTGAGGCAGAGACTGAGGCAGAGACTGAGGCAGAGACTGAAGCAGAGACTGAGGCAGAGACTGAGGCAGAGACTGAGGCAGAGACTGAGGCAGAGACTGAAGCAGAGACTGAGGCAGAGACTGAGGAGGGCAGAGACTGAGGCAGAGACTGAGGCAGAGACTGAGGCAGAGACTGAGGCAGAGACTGAGGCAGAGACTGAGGCAGAGACTGAGGCAGAGACTGAGGCAGAGACTGAAGCAGAGACTGAAGCAGAGACTGAGGCAGAGACTGAGGCAGAGACTGAGGCAGAGACTGAGGCAGAGACTGAAGCAGAGACTGAAGCAGAGACTGAGGCAGAGACTGAGGCAGAGACTGAAGCAGAGACTGAAGCAGAGACTGAAGCAGAGACTGAGGCAGAGACTGAGGCAGAGACTGAAGCATAGACTGAAGCAGAGACTGAAGCAGAGACGAAGCAGAGACTGAGGCAGAGACTGAAGCAGAGACTGAAGCAGAGACTGAAGCAGAGACTGAGGCAGAGACTGAGGCAGAGACTGAAGCAGAGACTGAAGCAGAGACTGAAGCAGAGACTGAAGCAGAGATTGAAGCAGAGACTGAGGCAGAGACTGAGGCAGAGACTGAGGCAGAGACTGAAGCAGAGACTGAGGCAGAGACTGAAGCAGAGACTGAGGCAGAGACTGAGGCAGAGACTGAGGCAGAGACTGAGGCAGAGACTGAAGCAGAGACTGAAGCAGAGACTGAAGCAGAGACTGAAGCAGAGACTGAGGCAGAGACTGAGGCAGAGACTGAGGCAGAGACTGAAGCAGAGACTGAGGCAGAGACTGAGGCAGAGACTGAGGCAGAGACTGAGGCAGAGACTGAAGCAGAGACTGAAGCAGAGACTGAAGCAGAGACTGAAGCAGAGACTGAGGCAGAGACTGAAGCAGAGACTGAAGCAGAGACTGAGGCAGAGACTGAGGCAGAGACTGAGGCAGAGACTGAAGCAGAGACTGAAGCAGAGACTGAAGCAGAGACTGAAGCAGAGACTGAGGCAGAGACGGAGACGGAGACAGAGCTAGAGGAGTTTACTTTTACAAGTCATAGGTCAACAAGAGCCAGAGCGAGTTGGAGCTAAAACTTCACGTCCGTCCCTTCCCTACTGAGCTAGCGGGTTAGCATTATCCCACAGTCCAAGCTTCATCTCATGTTTTCATTTTCTTGTGTGTGTTTTCCAGTGGAGACCCACAGCCTCCAGTCTCTGCACACCATCCTGTCCACCGGCTCTCCTCTCAAACCTCAGAGCTACGACTACGTCTTCCACTGCATCAAACGCAACGTGTTACTGGGCTCCATCTCAGGTACTCGTCCTCCATCACTGCTTTAACACATCTGGCTATAACACTTCAGTTATGACAGTCTCTCTCTCTCTCTCTCTCTCTCTCTCTCTCTCTCTCTCTCTCTCTCTCTCTCTCTCTCTCTCTAGCCTATATAAAAAGCACACAGCCACCTACAGACGTACACAGTGCTTTTGTTGTGTTGACAGCTCAATAGAGAGATCTGTCGGTGGCTCTTTGTGAGCGCTGAAGCGGTTAGCGTTTAGCTGTCGGACTGAAACAGACTAAACAGACTCCAGCGCAGACGCGGGGAAGACACAGGCCTGATGTAGGACTGGTGTAGGACTGATGTAGGACTGATGTAGGACTGACGTGGGACTGATGTAGGACTGATGTAGGACTGACGTGGGACTGATGTAGGACTGACGTGGGACTGATGTAGGACTGATGTAGGACTGATGTAGGACTGACGTGGGACTGACGTGGGACTGATGTAGGACTGGTGTAGGACTGATGTAGGACTGACGTGGGACTGACGTAGGACTGACGTGGGACTGACGTGGGACTGATGTAGGACTGATGTAGGACTGACATAGGGCTGGTGTAGGACTGATGTAGGACTGATGTAGGACTGACGTGGGACTGATGTAGGACTGATGTAGGACTGACGTGGGACTGATGTAGGACTGATGTAGGACTGACGTGGGACTGATGTAGGACTGACGTGGGACTGATGTAGGACTGATGTAGGACTGATGTAGGACTGACGTGGGACTGATGTAGGACTGGTGTAGGACTGACGTGGGACTGATGTAGGACTGACGTGGGACTGATGTAGCACTGACGTGGGACTGACGTGGGACTGATGTAGGACTGATGTAGGACTGACGTGGGACTGACGTAGGACTGATGTAGGACTGACGTGGGACTGATGTAGGACTGACGTGGGACTGATGTAGGACTGATGTAGGACTGATGTAGGACTGACGTGGGACTGATGTAGGACTGATGTAGGACTGATGTAGGACTGACGTGGGACTGACGTGGGACTGATGTAGGACTGACGTGGGACTGATGTAGGACTGATGTAGGACTGACGTGGGACTGATGTAGGACTGATGTAGGACTGACGTGGGACTGACGTGGGACTGGTGTAGGACTGGTGTAGGACTGGTGTAGGACTGACGTAGGACTGATGTAGGACTGACGTAGGACTGGTGTAGGACTGACGTAGGACTGACGTAGGACTAACGTAGGACTGATGTAGGACTGACGTAGGACTGGTGTAGGACTGACGTAGGACTGACGTAGGACTGACGTAGGACTGACGTAGGACTGATGTAGGACTGATGTAGGACTGACGTAGGACTGACAGGCCTTATGCAGCACTTGCACCAGACATTGAGGCGCTGTGACGAGTGAGCGACAGGCCACGGATGTCCGGGCGCTGCCTCTGTACTTAGCCAGGCTTGTCCAGCACTAAAACAGGTCTAAAGCAGGACTACAACAGGTCTAAAACAGGTCTAAAGCAGGACTAAAACAGGACTAAAGCAGGTCTAAAGCAGGACTACAACAAGACTAAAACAGGTCTAAAGCAGGACTAAAACAGGTCTGAAGCAGGACTACAACAGGTCTAAAACAGGTCTAAAGCAGGACTACAACAGGTCTGAAGCAGGTCTAAAGCAGGACTACAACAGGTCTAAAACAGGTCTAAAGCAGGACTAAAACATTTGGATATTCAACGTTTTCTAATTAAAACATTAAAACCGAAATCATGCAGAGTGTAAAAACGTGACCCACCTCCTCAGACGCTAGACAAAGACTGAGCGAGGCGCATGCGCAGACTGATGGAGGCTGCTTCTGTTTTTTTAATGGCGGGCTAAGAATCAATATTGCCGTATACTGCCACCTACTGAATCGGAGTGTTATACTCCATGCCTTTGGACCAATGTTACAGTCTATTTATCATTTTTGTTGAAGTTAGAAAATAAAATAATGCCCTCTCTTGATTAAACCCCTCTCCCAAAATACCCTCCATGCTCCACTACTGAGGGAGGCTCTGGGGCGCAGCGAAGGAAACGAGAAGGGTCTGTCTCCAAGTGTATCTGTCTGCGGCCTGCAGTACGGAGGCGTGTCGAGTAGTAGGCGTGTCGGGTAGTGACGTCACTACTCGACACGCCCACTCCGCGTGTATGAGCATGGATCTATTATAATACGGGTATGAGTAGTAGTGAGTACTATCTATGCCCAATGAATTTATGCGCAATAATGAATTTTATGGCGCATGTCATTGTCAATATTATTTATTGGGGGAAAATGGACGAATTTTGTAAATATCAAAGTAGTAAATTTGCCTACAAAAGCTGCCATTACTTCAGACTATCAATCAATAGGGATTTGAAGCAGCTCAGGACAAAAGTTAATGAGTCAAATAATGCCAGTGCTTATGTCTAATGTGTACATTCATTTATAAAAGGGGCCTATGGTTGGTGGCTCAAATCCTGGCTGCCCCAAGTGCAGTCTGGTATGTTCTTGAGCAATGCACTTCACCCACATGTGTGGACATAGTGAGAGACTGCTTGGTGGTGGCCAATAGCACAGATTAGTAGCCTGGCATCCTCCAACCCAGCTGTGACACACTGTGTGGAATAAATGAATAAAGTAGTGTGGCGTTTTGAGAAACTTGTCAACACAGGATTGAAAAGTACATTACAAGTTAAAGATATTATTACACCACCACCACCACCACACACTCCTACACCCATGGTCTCCACATTACTGATCATAAAGAGAACATGCCATAACATTTTTGTGCCCAACTTTGGCCTTTTGGGACAAGCAGACATTCATTACTATTGTGTTTTGTCAAATTTGTATGTAGAAGAGGGAGATTAAACAAAAAGAACAAATTGTTTTCTGGCATTTTATGTACATGCTTTTTTATGAATTTGTGTTATCTGAATGGCTCTGAAATGTAGACACTGAATAAGTTCAACACAAAACAAATATTGCAACAAATTCTCTTTTATTATAATCGTGAGAGAAAGGCTTCAGAGGAGAGCGCCAATCTCCATCTCTCTTGGAAAGCTTTCAGCCTCCCTGCTGCCTCCTCTGGTAAATGCCTCACCAGATCATTTGCAATCATTTTAAACTCACTGTCCATAAAGAACAATCACAGATTAGATTGTGCAGTGCACAGTGAAATATGTCCATCAATATTTAAATAATCTTACCATGGTTCATACTTTGGCCCCTTTATGAATTTTTCAATTGCCTCTTGCTGAGGCAGGTGAAATGCCTCGGCCAGAGTGTGAACTGTCACCTAGATAAGAGTAAAATGTGTTACATTCAACAACAACAGTTCACAAAACCAAATGCAGCCCTAAAAGGTGTTGTGTCCTGTTTAATTTTTTTTATTTCAAAATGTTTTTATTATTTTAAACATAGAAAAAGTACAAATCAACATGGGAATATGCATTCAATACATTCACTTAGTCTTAATGCGATTTCCATCCCATAGTCATGCCCAGACATTGGTATTTTAGTACTTGAAAGAAAAAACAAAACAAAACAACAACCACAAACAAAATATACCCCCCCCCCCCCCAAATAAAGACGAGGAAGAAAGAGAGAAAGAGAAAAGCAAGAGAAGAGAAAAGAAGAGAGTGGGCTCTTACTCTAGTACATTTGCATCAAATACATCCTCATAGTAATCCAGAAAAGGTTGCCATATAATTTTGAATTTTTCATTTTGTACAATAGTTCTAATCTTTTCAAGCTGGAGGAATGACATTGTCTCCTTCACCCAGTGCGAGTGTTTAGGAACCTGTGGAGACTTCCAATTTGAAAGAATCAAACGGCGAGCCAGCAATGAGGAGAATGCTATCATTTGACACTGACCATTGGAGAGCCCGTTTACTCGAACTACCCCAAATACCGCAGTAATTGGATCTGGGTCTATCCGTCTTTTAATATATGTGAGAAAGTGTCAAAAATTTCGGACCAAAATATGTACAAATTCGGACAGGACCAAAACATGTGTGACAAAGTCGCTGCACTTTGTTTACAACGAGTGCAGGTCGGGTCCACATTAGGGTACATTTTGGCCAGTCTAGTCTTTGATAGGTGTAATCGATTGAGGACTTTGAATTGAATTAATCTGTGTCTAACACAAATAGATGATGTGTATGTCTTAGTAATGACTCTTTGCCAAATTTCATCAGTAAATTTTACATTCAAACCATTCTCCCACTGGGTTTTCAAAGGAATGAGCGATGGAGAATCAATATTGTGAATTATTTTATATAACTGGGACACAGCACCTGGTTTTTGCAGTTTTATTGCCAAACAGTCGTCAATGGGACTATTTCCAGGTTGTAAAGGAAATGATGCATATAGTGTACGGACAAGGTCACGAATTTGGAGATAGCGAAAGAAGTGTGATTTTGGTAGCACATATTTTGTAGTCAGTTGTTCAAAGGTTGCAAAGCTACCATCAAAAAATAAATTATCAACACATTTTATGCCTTGTCTGGTCCATAGTTGGAAAGCAGTGTCAATTAATGATGGTTTGAACACAGCATTTTTAATCAAAGGCATAGAAGCCAAGGCTTGTGTGCATTGGAAGTGTTTACGAAATTGAGTCCAGATGCGAAGACTTGATCTGACAATTAAGTTATCTGTGTATTCTGCCACTGGTATCGGAAGTGGGGCGCATAACAGTGACGCTAAAGACACTGATGTACAGGAATGTTGTTCCATTAAAGACCAATTTGGACCGTCACCCTTCAAATTTAAGTTATACCAAATGGATAATTTGAAGATATTCGCAGCCCAATAATAATACAAAAAATTTGGAAGACCCAAACCACCATTTTCTTTGCATCGCTCCAAAACCGCCTTTCTAACACGGGGCAAAGACTTATTCCAAATAAAGAGACTTATGTACCCATCAAGTTCTTTAAAAAATGACTTAGGCAAAAAGATTGGTATTGTTGTAAACAGGTACAGGATTTTTGGTAAAATTACCATTTTAACCGAGTTAACTCTGCCAGCCAGAGACAAAGGAAGGGAGGACCAGCGATTGAGATCCTCCTTGATCTGATCCAGTAATCTTTTGAAATTGGCCTGGAACAAATCATTATAATTAGTAGTGACATTAACACCCAAGTATGTAAATTGTCCTTTGACAATTTTAAAATTATACAGGTCAAAATTCTGTTTTCTTGCCAAAATATTAATGGGAAACAATGTACTTTTTGTGGTATTGATCTTATATCCAGACGACTCACCAAATTGTGAAATAATTTCCAGACTCTCTGGGATTGAGGTATCTGGTTTTGACAGGAATAATAGCAAGTCGTCCGCATATAGTGAGACTTTGTGAACCATTCCACCCCGTGAGACCCCTTGTATGGAATTGTTATTCCTTAAAGCAATAGCTAGCGGCTCAATAGCGAGGTCGAAAAGGAGTGGTGACAGAGGGCAACCCTGCCTTGTACCTCTTTGGAGGGTAAAATAAGATGAGTTGAAATTGTTTGTTCTCACCCTCGTTTGAGGCGCCGAGTACAGCGTCTCCACCCAAGAAACAAAAGTTGAGCCAAATCCGAATTTGTCTAATGTCTTAAACAGATGACCATATTCAATCGAGTCGAATGCTTTGTGTGCATCTAATGACACCACAACTTCTGGAGTTTTGGTAGAGGTTTTGGAGTACAGTACGTTGAAAAGCCGTCTTAGATTATGAAACGATTGCCGGCCTTTCACAAAGCCTGTTTGGTCATTGTGTACAATTGTTGGTACAATTGGTTCCAATCTTAGTGATAATATTTTAGTAAGAATCTTGTAATCACTTGTGAGCAAACTCACTGGACGGTAGGACTCACATTTTGTCAGATCTTTATCTTTTTTGGGGAGAACTGAAATGGTGGCCTGGGTCATTGATGTTGGGAGTTTCTTTTGTTTGAGGGCTTCCCTGTAAACTAAGCATAATAAAGGAGTTAATTTATTGGCGAAAGCCTTATAAAACTCGATCGGATACCCATCGGGCCCCGCCGCCTTCCTATTTTTCATAGATTTAATAGCTTTCCCGATTTCAGTTTCTGATATTGGCGCCTCCAAAGATTGTTTGTCTCCTTCTGCTATAATTGGGAATGTTATATTATCTAAAAAAATCATTATTACGCCAGTTATTTGAGGTGTACAGAGATGAGTAGAAGCTTTTGAATTGATCATTAATGTCCTTGGTATCCACTTTAATTTCCCCATCTAACGCCTGTATTCTTCCAATAAAATTAGTTGCAGAGTGTTGACGCAGCTGGTATGATAATAACCGACCGGCTCGCTCACCGTGTTCATAACAGTTATGTCTGGATTTTAAGTATTTTTCTGCGGCTTCTTTAGAGGCTAGAAGGTCAAATTCTGTTTGTAATGCTATCCTTTGTTTTCGCAAATCCCCTTTAGGTGTAACAGAATGCTGCTGGTCAACATCCCTTATTAATTTGATCAACTCTGTAAATCTTTTGGTGCGAGCTTTATTAAGACGGGCTGTATATTCTATTATTTGACCCCTGATGTAGACTTTCAGGGTTTCCCAAAGTGTGAAAATATTTGTATCTGGTAAATGATTCGTGTCAAGAAAAAAATCTATTTGTTTTGAGATAAAGTCTACGAACTTTTCATCAGATAGTAAGTATGTATTGAATCGCCAGTTGCATTGATGTGGTAATCTATTCTGCAGATTAAGTTCTAAAATAACTGGGGCATGATCTGAAATTACAATACTTTCATAATCAGTTGACCTAGTCAGTGGGAGTAAGTTTCGATCTATTAGAAAATAATCAATTCGAGAGTACGTCGGATGTACTGCCGAGAAGAAAGAGAATACTTTGGAAGTCGGATTTTTAAAACGCCATGGGTCAACAATCCCCGCAGATTGACAAAATGTGTTTATGGTGTCAGCAGACTTTGATGGCGAGGTTGTTGATATTTTAGATCGATCAATAGGTTGGAGGGCAGTATTTAGATCCCCAGCGAATATGAGATGGTGTGTGCCCAGTTCTGGTATACGCCCAAACAAATCCTTGAAAAATTTTGAATCATCCCAGTTGGGAGCATAGACGCTGATCAAGACCACTGGTTTATTATACAGCCTTCCTTGTACAATAATAAATCTCCCATTTTTATCACTAATGACTTTGTTATGGACAAACTGCACCTTTGTACCGATCAGAATTGCTGTACCACGAAATTTTGAATTTAGTTCAGAATGGAAAATCTGAGATACATTACTCCTCTTCAATTTTTGAATATCTTTTGTGCGAAGGTGTGTTTCCTGTAAGAAGATTACCTCTGCTTTCAATTTATTGAGATGAGAAAACACCTTGCTCCTCTTCACTGGGTGATTGAGTCCCCTCACGTTCCAGCTCACCAATCTAGTTGGTGGACCTATCATGTCACCAGAAGCACGACAATTTTGCAGTAGTCTATGTGGACGTATCTATAAAGCAGTTGCATCACATCGCCAGCCCTATAGAAAAGGGAGAAGAGAGAAAAAGGAAAAACAGAAAAGCCAAGAAAGAAAAATAGCACAGAAGTCACCTTCCCCCCAAAACAAACCCTTTGCTGCTGGTCCCTCCCAAAGTAAGAGACTGCACCCCCCCCACCTCCCAAGCCACTATGAAGCATCTAAACTAAGTAAGAACTTTCCTAACCACTTACCAAAAGTGGCTGAGATCCTACCTAAACCTTAAATTAATTGTAGTTGAATAATTGTCATAGAACACCAACAAGACCCACAGATACTCAACCCTGTACCCGTACAAAACGAACACCCTAACTTCAGAGAACTTGAATACTCAAAACGTAAACAGGGGTGGTATATCAAAATAAAACAAAATGTATGAGAAAAAAAAAAAAAAAACTGTAAAATAAATAAAAATAATAAAATAACACCTAATTAAAATGTTTTTTTTTTTTTGTTTTTTTTTTTCCTCCCCCTTATTACCCTTTCCTCCTCTTCCTTCCTCCCTCCCCATTAAATATTACTCTGAGTCATAAAAACAAAGGAGAAAATAAAATAATTACCAAAAAACTATCCTCACGTTATCTTTGGAATAATATGACTTAAAAAATACCTTGCAAAAATAGACAAAATGACAATAAAAATAAACAGAAACCATGAGTACTTACAATCTTAATGATATGTTTGTGCAAACATGAATGAGATCGTACGATCTTAGCAACGGAGCATGAACCATAATATTCGTTAATGTCAACAGTACTTTACGATGCATCCATACGTCATGGCGCCATCAGTCCCTTGGCAAACGCTGTCGCCTTCACCGGGTCCGAGAACATCTGCTGCACGCCGTCGGGGGTGGTGATCTTCAATCTTGCTGGATACAAAAGTCCATACTTCACCCCTTCGCACTGCCTCAGGATCTGTCGCGCTGGTCCGAACGCTGCTCTCTGCCGTGCTACACTTTGCGTAAAATCCGGGAACATTCGGATAGTGTCCCCATCCTTAGAGACGAGTTTTTCGGAGGCAGCCTTTCTCAGAATTGCTTCTTTTTCCTGAAAGTAGTGGCACTTCACCACGAATGCTCTGGGTGGCTGATTTGGCCCTGCTTTGGTTGTTTGTGGACTGGTGCGGTGTGCCCTGTCAATCACCGGAGGGGTTGCCAGATTCAGGACATGTTGCAGGAGTTCAGCAATGAACGTGCTCACTTTCGCACCACCTTCACGGCCTTCCTTTATCCCAAAAATACGCAAATTATCTCTTCTGGATCTCGCTTCCAAATCTTCAGTTTTCTCTGTCAGGCTCAAGATTTGATGTTTTAGTTCAGCCACCTGTTGCTCCAACTCCGTTACGCCATCAGAGCACGTGTTGGTCCCCTCCTCCAAGCTAGCCATGCGCTCCTCCAGCATGCTAACTCTGTTGTTAGCCTGCTCAATAGACGCCTTCACCTCGTCTCTCAAACTACGTATTTGTTTGGCCAGCTCATTTTTCTGCATTTCTGCTTTGTCGTCAATTTTAGAAAGTAACTCCGATTTCAGAGCGTCAATGGCTTGTAGTACAGCGGTATTCCCCGAGGTTAGGCTACTTTCTCCAGTCTCGTTAGCTTTAGGCGGTTTTGGCATATTGAAAAGTCCACAAAGTCAATAAAAATACACAAAACGAAAAATACGTTTCACCCAGTGTGACTCACAATGCCTTTACGGGTTGCAGATGATATAAAAATGTGGTCTTGTTGGTAAAATTGCGGTAAATGTAGGAGAGCTCAGACGACGCGTCTACATCTCTCCGAGGCCCAGCCGGAAGTCTTTGTGTCCTGTTTAATATATTGTCAGTGACTTGCACTTATGACTTTATGGTCTCTGTACATCAACAATGTTGCAATGCAGAGTTTTTAGTACAGTGTACGTCCAGGAAACATGTACCATGACATGTTTATGTTTGAGGGGGGTTCAGTGTTTTATGCACACTTTCATTACAATAGTCCCTGTGCCAGCCTGGTGGCGCTCGGGCCTACTAATGTAAAACAAACATTATATAAATCATGCTATACTTCCGGTAAGAGCGTGTAGACCAATCAGAAAGGAAGGGGGAGGGAGCTTGGGTTGTTTTTTTTTTCAAATCAAGTACCTCTCTGTCTCTCTTTCTGACAAACTCTAGACAATCACTTTAAAAAACAAATTTACAATATTGCACAACACCTGGATTCGAAGTTAAAACATACCTCCATGACAAACAGATGCCCTTTCATGGGTTTGCACGTGTGTGAGCATTTGTGCTTCTCCGCCATGTTTAAAACAGGTTACACACGTGAGCGTGTTCCCCTGCTTCAGCACTGGAGCATGATTCCCATCACTGACAATAGTCGGATGCAACTGAAAGCAGACATAAACATCCATTTGTGCACACTCAGAAACACAAATATCTTGGAACATCATCCAATAACTATGGTCAGTGACTTCTGTAACTGTGATAGGAAACATCGTGAGCTACATCACATAATTGCCTAACTAATTCTCCACTGTTCTTGGAAAACATGTAAAGAGTTATGTTTTTCTCCTTATTACCATTTTAACGATGCAAAATGACTTGGGCAATATTATATTGTATATATTATACTATGTACCTATTATACTATGTACCTGACATGTCGATGGCACATGGACTCTTAGAAGAAACCCATACGAATTGCTTTCTCTGCAATGTATTAGTTCACTTCTTAAAAAACATTTCTAGTCAGGGTGATGTGCATTTATTCATTAATACACTGTAACTTGAGGGATGGCCTAAAAATAAATAAAACACGTTGTTGGTTGACACTTACTGTTTGCGTACGGTCTGCCATGTCTTCTCTTCAACGGATATACTTGCAGAAGTTCAAGTGGATTCAAAATTCATGTAGTAGGCGTGTCGGGTAGTGACGTCACTACCCGACACGCCTACTACTCGACACGCCTCCGTACTGCAAGCCGCAGACAGACCCTTCTCGTCTGTCTGCGATATTTGTGTTTCTGAGTGTGCACAAATGGATGTTTATGTCTGCTTTCAGTTGCATCCGACTATTGTCAGTGATGGGAATCATGCTCCAGTGCTGAAGCAGGGGAACACGCTCACGTGTGTAACCTGTTTTAAACATGGCGGAGAAGCACAAATGCTCACACACGTGCAAACCCATGAAAGGGCATCTGTTTGTCATGGAGCTATGTTTTAACTTCGAATCCAGGTGTTGTGCAATATTGTAAATTTGTTCTTTAAAGTGATTGTCTAGAGCAGTGTCTCCCAAAGTAGGGTCCGCGGCCCCCTGGTGGGCCGCGTGGGTACTGCAGGGGGGCCGCGGGAGGTCATAAAAAAAAAATAATAATAATATAATTATTTAATGTTAAATTTATAATGTTTTATTTGTAATATTAAAATATTTGTGTTCATTATTTGACTTGAATAAGCCACTGTAATCATTTTTGTATTACAATGTTTGTAGCAGAGGCTATTTCCCCAAAATAAAATAACCAGAAGAGCCTATTCTTAATGTTGTCTTCTTGGTTATTATTTTGGGGGGGCCACGCAGACCCGTCAGATTTTTAAGGGGGCCTCGGTGTTACTGAGTTTGGGAATGGCTGGTCTAGAGTTTGTCAGAAAGAGAGACAGAGAGGTACTTGATTTGAAAAAAAACAACCCAAGCTCCTCCCCCTTCCTTTCTGATTGGTCTACACGCTCTTACCGGAAGTATAGCATGCGCCTCGCTCAGTCTTTGTCTAGCGTCTGAGGAGGTGAGTCACGTTTTTACACTCTGCATGATTTCGGTTTTAAATGTTATTTATGTTGTTACAAATGCAAATGTACAAGTCAGAGCCTTTTGAATCCATGTTTTAAGTCTGTAGTTTACAGTGATGGGCAGTAGCGACGCTACTAGCTTAACTCGCTACGTTTTTCAGTAGCTTGAGGGTAGCGTCACTATTTACAAATCCAAGTAACTTTTCTGTAGCTAAGCTATTTTTTTGAGCAAGTAGCGCGGTAGGGTCCTCCAAAGCTGTTTTCTCACGGACATTTCTGATGTTCATATACTACAGCATTTTACTGCTGCCAAAAACAAAGTAGGAAGACGGAATGTTTAAGTGTGCAGGCCTTAAGCCTAGTGTTTCTACTGTAGGTTTATGTGATAGTTTTATGGATTCATTATTTTATAAGTCATTTCAACTGTGATGCTGTGAATAAAGACACAGTTCTGTTGGAAACATAGTTATTATTAAATAGTTTTCAGCACAAACAGCAAAACAATAATAGTGGTAAATATCTGAGACAAACATGAACGATTTACGAGTGTATATATGTTAGATATAAGTTATATATATGTTAGATATAAGTTATATATATGTTAGATATAAGTTATATATATGTTAGATATAAGTTATATATATGTTAGATATAAGTTATATATATGTTAGATATAAGTTATATATATGTTAGATATAAGTTATATATATGTTAGATAGTCCACAGTCTCCTGTATATCAGGCTCTGAGCCCAAACTGCTTTTCCTTCGAAGCACAAAGCTCTCTGCTCCATAGTGCCTCGTCCATGCTCCTGCTGCAGCCGCTCCGTGCTTCCTTCCAATACACACACACGGACCAATCACAGCGGAGCTTCCTTGCGGCGACCCTTAAAGCCTAGTTTATACTCGCGCGGAGCTTACGGAGGTGACGTGACGTCACTTGCGCAACGCGTTGGTCACCGCAAGGCCCTTACGTCGCCTGCCGCGCAGCATCGACATTCTACGTAAAGGTCGCCGCAAGGAATCTCAGCATGGACGAGGCACTATGGAGCAGAGAGCTTTGTGCTTCGAAGGAAAAGCAGTTTGGGCTCAGAGCCTGATATACAGGAGACTGTGGACTATCTAACATATATATAACTTATATCTAACATATATATAACTTATATCTAACATATATATAACTTATATCTAACATATATTTAACTTATATCTAACATATATATAACTTATATCTAACATATATACACTCGTAAATCGTTCATGTTTGTCTCAGATATTTACCACTATTATTGTTTTGCTGTTTGTGCTGAAAACTATTTAATAATAACTATGTTTCCAACAGAACTGTGTCTTTATTCACAGCATCACAGTTGAAATGACTTATAAAATAATGAATCCATAAAACTATCACATAAACCTACAGTAGAAACACGTGTAATGAGCTCAAACAGCTTTGTTTGTTATTGTTGTTCTGAAGAGGACAAAGTAGCAGCGTAAATGGGACCGCTCCTGTGTGATCGCCCTCATGTGGTTTGTTGTGGGATTACAACATTCTCCTCAAAACTCCGTAAGGGGAACGCGCCAGTATAACATCAATTGTGCTTACGTAGGTCCACCGCAACCGCTAACGTAAGCCACGCCGCGCAAGTATACTCTAGGCTTAAACTGAGGCCTGGACTCCACCGGGCGCGTCTCCGCTGACGCGCGTTGGCTGCTGTCCGTCGGACATCCATAAAAAAGACTAGTGGTCAAACCGGCTGCACATATATCAATATATTATTCCATTGTATTTTCAATGGAAAACGGACCCGACACTCGTCGACGGAACAAATAGGATTGTTTCTATTTCGTCCGTCCGCGTCCGTTGCACCCTCCGTTGACGGAATACGTCCGACGTGCGTTGGACGGACGCATGCGGAGGCAGTGGAGCCACTTCCATTCACCCTCATGGAGATACGGACGACGGATCCGTCCAAACATGTCCGTTTCATCTCCGTCTCCGTTATTTCCATGAGGGTGAATGGAAGTGGCTCCACTGCCTCCAACATCCGGATTCCATCAACGGAGGGTGCAACGGACGCGGACGGACGAAATAGAAACAATCCTATTTGTTCCGTCGACGCGTGTTGGGTCCGTTTTCCATTGGAAATACAATGAATAATATATATATTAATATATTTACAACATTATTAAACATGTATTGATATATGCTGTAGTCCTGGTTATAAGTGTTTGTTAATGACAATGATTATTAACAAACATGTGTAATTTTTTTCATGTATTAATTTAAATAATTGTTTCCTGATCGTACATCTACCATTTATCTTTCGCGTAATGTTAATCTTTACATACACCTCGCTCTTTTTTCTCTTGCTCTGTCCCCTTGGACACTTGCTGTGTCCCCTTGGATACTTGCTCTGTCCCCTTGGACACTTGCTGTGTCCCCTTGGACACTTGCTGTGTCCCCTTGGACACTTGCTCTGTCCCCTTGGACACTTGCTGTGTCCCCTTGCTCTCTCCTCACCGCGCCCCCTACAGACTGTGTGAAGGTTTACATGGGGATACAGTTATTTGGGTTTTCTGTTGTTTGATCTCATATTTGACCCACTTTACAAACATGAAAACTCACCAAACTTTGCCACAAGTTTTTTTCAGGCATAAAGTGTATTATTTTGGTGTTCTTTGGTATAAGACTAAACAATTGAAATTGTAGGGGGCGCTGTTTTACAACATAAATGCCTTCCGTTTGCACATACAAAGTCCGATTTGCACACAATTTGAAATGACTGTTTAACTCTTGGGTTTGAGTAAACTGAAAGTGTGAATCATGAAATATCAGCATTAGCGCCCCCTACG